GGGCGCTACCTGACTTTTTGAACATACTGGTACATTCTGTGGTTAGACCAGTAGTACTTATGACCCTAGAGATAGAGAATAGAATTGGAAAAAAGGATTGTTGTTTTTGGGAATTACATTTCAAGAGCTGGCCTGTGTTGGAGGAGCAAATGTTGCCTTGTGTGGTTGAGTAATCTGAGCTAGTTGGGAGCAGAAGTCAGGGATAACTCTTGTTACTGGTTTCTTCTTACTGTCTTCTGGACCTCATTAATAGTCCAAGCTCCAGTGTTCCCTGCCCTCTGCCACAGAGATGTCTGTTGTGGTATCACTAAGGCCTCAGGTTTCCTTAAGTACCTTCCCGAAAAGTTAGTTCTTTTTTATTTTTATTTTTTAAATAAATTTGTATTGTTCATATTATTACAAATGTTCCTCTCCCCCCCTCCCCCAATTGCTCTCCTCCACCAGGTTCCCATCCCACTCTCTGCCCTTTCCCCAGTTAGTTCTTTTTTAATCCTCACCCAAGGATATTTTTTTCCATTGATTTTTAGAGAGAGTGAAAGGGAGGGAGAGAGAGACACAGAGAGAAACATCAATGTGAGAGAGACACATGGTTGTCCCTTGCTTGTGCTCTGACCAGGGCCAGGGATGAAGCCTGCAACCAAGATATTGTACTTGCCTTTGACAAGAATTGAGTCATTCCTCGGACTGACTGACTATCCACTGATCCAAACCTGCCAAGATGAAAAGCAATTTCTTGACCTTACTTTCTCTTAGTCAAAAGCATATTCCTCAGCTGCTACTTCTTGCGTTTCAGAAATCATTTTTCTGGAATACCATTCCATCCAATCCCATCATTCTCTCTTTTATTGCCAATTTTTAACAAGTTATCTACAATCTGCTTTCATTTCTTCATTCCTCAATGTTTGTGCTTTTGCTTCCACTCACACCCCTGTACAGAAGTTGTACTTCACACATATATATATGTATAACTTTTTTTCCCAGTGTGCAAAATCGTGTGTGCAGTAGCCCGCCGCTGCTTGCAGCCCCACCTACCACCCCACCGTGCTCAAAAATACCTTCTCCCCCAGTGTTGGGCAGGGGGTAGCAAAAATTAGGAGACATTCCTCCCCATTGCACACGGACCCTATATACAGGCCCATCCGGCCCAGGCCAGCAAGATGCTTGGCACATTCTCAGGTCCCTGCTCAGAGGCGGGAGGGGTGACTGGTGGCAGCACATGTGAGAGGGTACCTCCAGGTGGCCACTCTGGTCCTGGCTACTGGTCCTGGCACTTCCTGGTCCTCGGTCCCTTCCTGGTCCTGCCTGCAGCCCTGGTCCCCCTACCTGGCTCAGCCTCATGTCTCTATCCTGGCCTCAGATGGCCCCTTGGTTCCTGGGGGCTCTGTCCTCCCCTCCCAGCCTGGAGGTCCCAAGGAGAGGTAATGGCTTCTGAGAGACTCCCTGGCAGCCCTGCCATTCGTGTTCACACAGGAGAAGGGGTGCGTGTGGCAGAAGCAGCTGTATAAATGTGGGTGCAGGGGCAAGTTTGCTGATGACTCGGAACAGGGCTGCATTTTTGTCCTTGCACTGGTTGTCAGCCTTGAGGTTGGACAGGCCCTTCAGCTCCTCTTTAAGCTCAGTGGCCTTGTGCTCCAGGGCCCTGCGCTCAAATCTCTCCAGCTCCAGGGAGGCTGGCCTCTCTGCAAAGTGTTCTGCCTCTGTGTGCATAGTCCAGCTCCACATTGAGCTGTGCCAGCCACAACATGGTCTCGGTCAGGGCCTCACGAAGTTTCGTTCTCAATGCGCAGCTCTGCGTAGAACTTCCTGAAGCCTTTCTCAGGCTCTTCCAATTTGGGCTGGGGTTCTGGTTGAGGGCCCACTGCCTCTGGGGGAAGGGCAGTATTCTGGGCTGATGTCCGCTGGCTTCACTTCTCCCCCTCCGCAGGCCCTCTCCTCTCCTTGCCAACTCTGCGGCGCTCCCTGGAGGCCTGTGGTCCCTGTCCCTGCCCGTCAGGCACCTCTACCCTCTGGGCAGGGCCATCAGAATTCTCAACCCCAAGGACTTGGGGTTGCCAGAAATGGCCAGGCTCTGAGCAGCCCGCTGTTGATTGGGATGGAAGAGTCCCATCAGGAGAGGCCAGTAGGTGGAGCGGGCCAACCTCAGCCACATGGGGGAAGGGGTCACGACGTTGGCCCGCTCCACCTACTGATCGGGCTGGTTCGCTGGCTACAGTGGGCAGCGGTGGCGGTTTACTGGAGGCGGGAGGGAGCCACTGCCACCCATGGGAGGCAGGAGGGAGCTGTGCCACCCAAGGGAGGCAGGAGTAAGCCACCGCTGCTGCCCGAGGGAGGTGGGGGGAGGGACCAAGAGATCAACAGTTTAGCCCATTCGCCAGTCAATGCCACTTCATGGCGACTAGTCATTTGGGTCATCATGGCCCTGGCTTTTTATATATATGGATAGCAGGCTCTTCCTATATCCCCAATATTTTTTTAAAAAATAAGAACAGTTAGGCTTCAATCAGGCTGGCAGGGGAGTGGTTAGGGGCAATCAGGCAGTCAGGCAAGCAGTTGGGAGCCAGCAGTCCCAAATTATTAAAGGGATGTCCTCTGCCTATTTAGGCCCACAAGGATAGGGCCTAAACAGGCAGTCAGACATCTCCCGAGAGGTCCCAGATTGGAGAGGGTACAGGTTGGGCTGAGGGACAGCCCTCCTCTCCCTGCGCGTGTGTCTCCCCCCCCCCCCCCCCCGCACGAATTTCATGCACTAGGCCTTTAGTAAATAATAAAATGTATGAGGAAATCCAACAGATCTCTATCATACTATTTCCTTAATAAATGCTCTTAGCTATTTTGGTGGTGAATTATTGATGAATTAGATACCTAACCAGAACATATTTAACATTAATAAATCTCTTTGGCAGTGATGGTGTGGTTCAGAGGCTTTCTCCCATCATTATAGATTTAGACATAGTAAGCAGAATGGAGGGAAAAGTGTAGAAAATCTTTATGTTTGAGCTCATTGGTGTTTTTTGTTGTTGTTGTTGTTGTTTTTTAATATGTTTTTATTGATTTCAGAGAGAGGAAGGGAGAGAAAAAAACATCCATCCGCTGCCTCCTGCATGCCCCCTGCTGGGTATTGAGCCTGACCCCAGGCATGTGCCAGGACCAGGAATCGAACTATGACCTTCTGGCTCATAGGTCAGCACTCAACCCCTGAACCACATAGGCTGGGCTGAGCTCATTGTTTTTATAATAAGTTCACAGATCTGATGTTACTAATTAAAGTGGTTAAACATGTTTGTAAATACGTAGAGCAAATATAAATGGGAAAAATAGAGAATCATAAAAATATGACTTTAGAGAAAGATATATAGCTAGGTTTGCTAAATCAGTGGATTAATGTACAGGGTTAGAAGGGATGAATATCAAGAAATCAGAAAGTATTACTATTTAATGTAAATGTGACTAGAATCAAGTAGATTGGGCGCTTTTGGAGTTTCACATAGGTGAACAGAAGCTGTTTTCCTCTTACAGTTTTTTACTTTACACAGCTTTTTAGAATTAGATGTTCATTTATGTCCATTCATCTAATAATAGTGAACTGATAGAATGAAGAGCATTAAAACAGTGGAAATAAGTGGTAGGAAAAAAAATGAATCATAATCATAATCTTTAAATGTATTAATGTTGCCCTAGCTGGTTTGGTTCAGTGGATAGACTGTCGGCCTGCAGACTGAAGGTCCCAGGTTTGATTCTGGCCAAGGTACATCCCCAGGGTGCAGGCTCAATCTCCATTAGGGGGCGTGCAGGAGGCAGCTGATCAGTGATTCTCATCATTGATGTTTCTATCTCCTTTCCTCTCTGAAATCAATAAAGAAATATATTTTAAACATAAATAAGTAAATGTGTTAAAGTTGTTATTTATTCAAATTGTATTTCTTCACAGCTAAAGATCTTGCATACATTTAATTGGGTTACTGAAGTTTTCATTTGGTGACACGATCTTGCCAAGACTCCCCATTTGGTGTGCTCCCCTGATCTGCCCCATCTACATGCATCCCTGCACATTTATGTATACACACACACACACACACACACACACACACACACACTCCTTAATTGGTATGTACCTAGCCTATTGTTTATTTTGTTTACAACCTCCTCCATCTTCCTAGTCATAATTTACCAAAGCAGATGAGGAAATGAAGAATGTCATGAAACATCAATGACCTTTACAGAGTAAACCAAAGTACTTGGGTATATTCTGCTAGAAACATGTTCATATGTCCTTAGCTCCAATAAAAAGGCCTTGCCTGCCTATCACTTGTCTCCCTCACTGTTTCCTTTTATAAATAGACTAGAGGCCCAATGTATGAAATTCATGCAAGAGTAGGCCTTCCTTCCCCCAGCTGTCAGCACTGGCTTCCCTCTGGCATTTGGGACCCAGGCTTCCCTTGCAGCCCCAGCTTCGTCCAGAAAGTCATATGGAAGGATGTCTGGTCTAATTAGCATATTATGCTTTTATTATTATAGATATCAATGAGAAAAAGATATAGGGTGTCTCAAAAAAATGTATTCACATACTTTGAATAACTAAAGACAGTGTTTATTAAAATACATTTCATTTTCAAAATTAAGCTATCAGCTGTTAAAAATGTATATATATTTTTTGGGGATACCCTGTATTTATAAATTAAGCTTTCTATTTATGATCTACACATTCATTCAGATTTAATAGAAGAAAAATATAAAAGCTCTTATTATTCTGTTAGTTCCTTTGACAGGAAAGATTCCTAATACTTAAGGTAAAATGATACAAACAATAATTAATGAAAATTTTAAAATAAATTGTTTATTAATACTCAGTATATCATGAACTCCCAAAATAGATATATTCAAGATAATTTAAAATTAATTGTTAGCAAAGAATACAGGTTAGCTGTTTTATTTTTTATACTGCTCATTTGTTTTGTTAATGAGGAAAACTAGTGGAATCATTTGTGTTCATTTTGTTTCAGAAAAGAAGTACTTTTACTGAAGTACACCATCCATTGTGAAAGTGGAAAAATAAGGATTATTCATCATGCCTTCTGTGGCTTCAGATCCTAAAGAACTCTACCTCAGTTCTTCACTAAAAGACCTCAATAAGAAGACAGAAGTTAAACCAGAAAAAATAAGCACTAAGAAGTATGTATCCATCGTTAGTTTGACTGAGTCATATATTAACTTTTACTTCAATTCCGTGTTCTTACATGGGTTATGTGAGTAAATTTAAAGTTTATTTAAATAATGGCATCATTTCAGAAATAAAGTAAGACCTCCTTAGAGAAGTTCTTAACTTTATCTTGGTAGAGTACATATATAGTCTTCTGATATACATATTATCTGTTTTCCAGACAATGGTAAATCATAAGTTTCAGGTAAAGACTAAGGGTTCTACATAACTCATTCAGCCACAATCAGTACCTTTTCATAACATAATATAAAAATACTGCTTAATTCAATATTTTTATCCTTGTGTATTTCACATGTAAGAGATGGTCTTAGCATAGTCTTTCTTTGATTCAAAAGAGGAGAGAGATGTATTTTTTATCCAGTATTCAGCTTGACAAGAACTTTTAATCTAATGATCTATTTTATATAATATAGAGTTGGAAAAAGGAGTTTCAGAAAGAAAGGTAGGCCTTGGCCAGGTAGCCCACTTGGAGCCTTGTCCTGATGTACTAAGATTGTAGGTTCCATTTCTGATCAGGGAACATACAAGGATCAATCAATGAATGCCTAAGTGGAACAACACATCAATGTCTGTCTCTATCTTCCTCTCTCTCTCTCAAAAAAAAGAAATCAATTAAAAAAAAAAAAAAAAAGATGCATCTTTCCAGCAATACACAGACTTGAGTAAGCAGATTTTAGAGATTAGAGGAAAATATGTGTTCCATGGCTAGAGATAAATGGGAATAGGGTGGAAATGACAATTCTAAAAACTTATTTTTATGATCCCAAATGTACTCATTCCTGAACATTTATAGAGAATCTCCTTACTGTCTTTGGTTTCATTTACCTCTGTCTTAGGACTATGATGCCATGTGAGGCACAGCATACACACTGACTGAAATGGTCCTTGTACAGGACCATCTTTGGTCTTAAATACCACTTTGTCCCTTTTCCTTGTGTGGTGGTCTAGTTCTTTGGTCTGACCAACTTCTTCATTAGTCCTTGTCTCAATTTTGGAACACAGTTTGAAAAATACAGAAAACAAAACTCACTGCTTTCTATAAATAAGTATTGGTAAAGCATATTATAGATAGGCATTGGCTCTATAACTTGGTTGCCAAAACTTTAGTCCTAAGTGAATGAATTTCTCTTGCAGAAATGCCTATTTTATTAATTTGTTTTCTAAAAACTCCAACAAGGAAAATGTCTTTAGAGTTAATGCCACAGAATCCTCAAGTTATTTTACTAAAGTAGAATTTTAAGATGATGTATTTTTGGACTTTAAGTCTCTTTTTCTTCCAGGACCAATGAATCAGAGTGTAGTGCAGCCATTTGTAGAAAATTTTAACTAAATAAAAAGATTGGCCTCATGTCCTCTTTTCTTTCCTTAATTTCTTGGATTTTTAGGTGGGGGAAATTTTATGCAAAGGTTAAAAAGGAATTAGAATGGAAAATAATTTGTTTTAATATTATACTAATCAAGAGAGAAATATGGTAATTGATCATCACTCTGCAACACCCACAGCCAATCAAGAAGGAACATGCAAATTAGCAGGGCAAAGATGGTGGCGGCCAAGAGCCAGCTGAGTGGGCAGAGGCTTGGGTTGCTCCTGGCGATGGAGAAAGTCAAGCTTCCCACCTGCCTGGGCCGGCCGCCAAAGGAGGGACCTATGGGTGGTGGCCATGGAGCCAGCTGGAGTGGGCAGGAAGTTTGGGTCGCCCGGGCCAACCGTTGAGGGAGGGGCCTGCAAACAGCCCTCAGCTGGAACATCCAGGCTGGCCATGCCACCATCGGGTTGAGAATCCCCAGTGGAGGGCCTGGCCACCCTGCAAACAGTCATCAGCCCCTCATGCGGTAGGACCCTCATCCTGAAGGAGGTGTGGCCAGCCTGAAAAGGGCCCTTAGCCCCTTACCCAGAGGTGGTTAGGGGCCAAGAGGGGACGGCAGTTGTGGATGATCAGGCCAACGGGGGAGGGCTGTTGGGGTAATCTGGCTGGCGGGGGGGGGGGGGGCAGTTAGGGGTGAGCAGGCTGGCGGGGAGGGCAATTTGGAGCGAGCAGGCTGTCAGGGGCAGTTGGGGGTGAGCAGGCCAGCAGGCAGAGTGGTTAGGGGCAATCAGGCAAGCAGTCAGGTGAGTGGTTAGGAGCCGCAGTCCCAGATTGCGAGAGGGATGTCTCAGATTGGAGAGGGTGCAGGCCGGGCTGAGGGACACCCCCCAGCATGAATTTCATGCACTGGGCCACTAGTCAAAATAAAGATTTTAGCTTCCCTAATTCAATACAAATGGTATGTTCTTTAATTATAGAGTATGGCTATTATGTGGCTGCCTGAGGACCACTTGTCTCAGGATTATCTGTTGTAGCAAATCTTTTAAAACTGGACTCAGAAAGCATTTTGAAGAGTTTGTGGTATATAAGCAAATCTTATGAAACAGAAGTATTTACTTGTAGCATAAGGGGAATTTTCAGATTTCATCCAAACTTGCATCTAACTGAAATAAATAATGAAATATATTTTATCAAGGTTCTTTGTGGGCTTTACCCATGATTTCCCCACCAGATGTCAAGTATTTTATTTTTTTCTCTAATTTTAAGTTATGTACAGAGTGCCCAGAAGCTCTTCAAGATAGCAGAAGAAAGCAGGTTAGATCGTGATGAGGAAAAGGCCTACGTACTATACATGAAATTCGTGACTGTTTATAATCTTATCAAAAACAAGCCTGATTTCAAGCAACAGCAGGTACCTTTTGTTTCTACATTTTTATTTGCTAAGTTCTTTTTGCACAATGGACTTACCTTCTCTAAAAGTTTTAACTATATTGGAAAGTAGATAACATTATGTGGCATCAAGTTCAAACTCTTATGAAGGTAGAAAAACAAACTGAAGATTTTATTTTATTTGCAAACATGTGGATACACACACATTCTTTTTTTTTTTTTTTTTAATATGTTTTTATTGATTTTTAGAGAGGGAGAGGGATAAATAGAAACATTGATGAGAGAGAAACATCATCGATCTGATGCCTCCTTCACACCCCCTACTGGCTATCAAGCCTGCAACTTGGACATGTGCCCTGACCTCTTGGTTCATGGATTGATGTTCAACCACTGAGCCACACCAGCCAGTGCTCTATATGCACTCTTAATTTGCCTTGGACTAGTACAAATTTATAGCAACATACAGAAACATAGTCAATTTTCTGTTATGATACATCATTGCCAGTTCAAATAGAATACTCTGTTTACTCATGCATTAAATAAGAACAATATGACTTGAGATTGTACTTTCTCAAGATTCAAGGTTTAGTCATTTGTTTTAATGTGACAGTTTTTAATATATCACACTGTCGCATATTAAAGATCTGTTTGAAAAATTAATGCTGATTGTTTCCATTTTTGTATATTATTATTTTGCTTTTAATCCTTTGAGCAGGTGCCTCTCTTCCACTTTTCTGAAGCCATGGGCAGGGAGGGTGGGAGAGGAAGCGTAAATGAAAAAAGGGAACTGATGAGTATATAAGTGTGGCTAAGGAAAATGGTTGCATTTCAGCTGCACCAGCAGCAGGCTAAAGATCATGAAGACTAGGTTAAAGAAATGGGAAGAACCGAATCGGTTTGGCTCAGGGGTAGAGCGTCTGCGGACTGAAAGGTCCCGGGTTCGATTCCGGTCAAGGGCATGTATCTTGGTTGTGGGCACATCCCCAGTAGGGGGTGTGCAGGAAGCAACTGATCAATGTTTCTCTCACAATGTTTCTAACTCTATCTCTCTCGCTTCCTGTCTGTAAAAAGTCAATAAAATATATTTTAAAAAAATAAAAAGAAATGGGAAAAGTTTTCTGTTGGTGGTTCCGCCTTGCTACCAGACAATAAATAGTAGCAAAATACTGCCTATAGATCTTATGTGGTGGAGAAGCCATTCCTTAAAAAAATTAAAATTAAAATTAAAAAAAATTAATTCTCACCTGAGTATATTTTTTCCCATTGCTTTTTCAGAGAGAGTAGAAAGGGAGGGAGGGAGGAGAGAGAGAGAAACATGGATATGAGAGATACATCTACTGGTTGCATCCAGCGTGTGTCCCAACTGGGAGCAGGAGTAAACTCAAAACCAAGGTATTGGCACTTGACAGGAATGGAGCCCTGAGACCCTTTAGTGTGCAGGTTGACACTAACATTTAGTAACACTGGCCAGGGCAGAGAAGCTATTCTTGAATTAATATTGAGATTTTTATTTTGTTCACTGGTGGTGGAATTTCCTTTGCCTTGTTAAAATTATAGAAGTTAAAAATTTTTCTTTTTACTTTTTTAGAAGTTAAAAAATTTTCTTACTCTTTTAATAGCCTTATATGAATTACAATAGTGTAATTCATATGTTTTCTTTTGGTTGTTGGTTAAGGCAGGAGTGGCCAACAGGTCGTCTGTGAGGTCTGAAAGGTTGGCTACTGCTGGGTTAAGGGATAGCCTCATTGTTTTATTTAATCGTGTTAAATCATTACTCGTATTTTTTCTTACCAGTAAGGATATACTAATAATAGTTATGAGATTTTAGCTCTAGCTTTGGGATGGTGGCCCTTTGCATTTAAGGTTCATCCTCCACATATTGCTGGATTGGTTCTGTCCTTGGAACATTCTTGGGCATACTTATCTGCAGATGGGGACAGAGGCCTGCCCAAATTTAAGCAAGTGTTTGCATGCTCTTCGATGATTAGCACAGTATCTCTTAAAATGGAATTGCTTAAAAAGAAGTGTAAAAGTGTCTGCTAAAGTAATTATTTTTGAAAAATTTGGGTAACTGATAGTTTTGGTATTTGCTATTTTGTCTATAATCATAGGGCCAATTTTTTAATATCCTTTTAATTTTTTGCTTTATTTTTCTAAATTAGTAACTACCTTTTTTCTTTGACAAGATTAGGAGTGTTTTTTGTAGCTACCTTTTTCTTTTTCTTTTTTTAAACCTGAGAAGGTTGGGAGTAAATTATAATCGGTAAGAGGTTTTTTCCATTTCTACAGACTATTTATTCCTTTTCCAAAGGGAGTATATAGTTGAAAGTGGCAGGAGTTGTTTAGGTTAGAAAGCTCCTGTTACTTCATATGTTGCAGTTGTTCAGTTTCTGGTTTTCAGTATAAGGATTATTTTTGTTTGCTCTTTCCAAAGTACCACATCTTCTTCTGTCTCAGAACTGTTTGTGTTTTATTTTATTTAGCCCAATCTCTCCAGTATACTTCAATATGTGAAATGTTAAATTTACTAAGTAAATTTTTTAAACATTTGATTTTAGCGAGGGATGAAGGGAGAGACCTCACTTGGGATCCAGTAATTGAACCCATAGCCTTCCCATGCATGGGACCACACTCTAAACAACCAATCCACACTGGCCAGGGCACTGACTAAATTTTTGTTTTTACCTTTTAAAGCCAGTAGGGACAGAATGTAAAGTCATCAGTCTTCAGAAACTTGGTCTTTCACTCTTATTTTATATTAAGGAATAGTTAAGATTTTAGATAAAAACTTGATAATTTAGCAAACTTACTAGTAGAGGACACATTGCATTTACTAGTGTCCTGGTGCATGGATTTGTGCACATTGAAAGGAAATTAATTAGAAGAAATATTTATTATTTATAATCCTGAATATTATTGGTAAACTTTTTTTATTTGTGAAATCATGAGAGTTGCTTGAATCTGTGTTCAAGAATAGGAAAGTTCTACTTGGTAAACCTAAAAAGCAAATGTTTTTAGTTGTATAAGAATTGGATGTTGTTATTAAAATTCTGCCAAGTGTCAGTACTGTTGAAAATTTGAAAATATTTATGCTTATTTTAACTGTGATCCATTAACAGTACACAGAGAGAATTATTGGGGAAAAAAAACTTCACTGATATTAAGGGAGTGTTTTTTGAGAGTTCGTAATAGTCATAGCCAATCACAAACAATTTTTTCAGCATTTAAACCGAGTTAAGTTGAACTTACAGACTGGCTTCTTAATGAGTTTCTATTTTAAAAATTAATAAAACAAGTCATAGTATTTTTTGGTTTTACTTTGTATTTTATTTTTATTGGAGAAATCTTATAGTAATAATTATATTTTATTTTCTGCTAGAAAAGTATTGTGCCTTACCTGGTTTGGCTCAGTGGATAGAGTGTCAGTCAGCCTTTGGACTGAAAGGTCCTGAGTTTGATTCTGGTCAAGGGCACATGCCCAGGGTGTGTGCTTGATCCCCAGTAGGGGGCATGCAGGAGGCAGCTGATCAATGATTCTCTCTCATCATTGATGTTTTTATCTCTGTCTCCTTCTCCCTTCCTCTCTGAAATCAATATATATTTAAAAGCATTGTATCAGCGCTAGCTGTGTTGCTCAGTTGGTTGCAGTGTTGTCACATACACCAAAAAGTTGTGGGTTTGATTACCAGTCAGGGCACATACCTAGGTTGTGGGTTCATCCCTGGGTGGAGCGAGTACTGGAGGCAGCTGATCTGTGTTTCTCTCTCACATAGTTGTTTCTCTCTCTTTCTGTTCCTTTCTCTCTAAAATTAATTACACATCCTCAAGGGAAAAAGGGGTGAATATTGTATCAGTTGTAGGACATTGTGATAACTAAAGTAATTACAGTTTCCACTATAATGTTCAAGTGATAGAGTATTGAACAAACTATACTTTTATTGAAATTACATAGTGAATGGCCCTCTTTATTCTTTAAACTAGAAGAATAAACTCAACCAAAACCTGAGCTACTTTAAGGCTAGATAGATAGACATATGATAGCTGTTACCAACAGACTTATTCCACCCAAAGCTCTTGTTGAGGGTCTCTCCATGAGCCAGAGATGGATATTTTTGACCTTCTGGCCTTTTTTTTTTTTTTTTTTTTTTTTTTTTTTAATACGATTACTAGATTCTTTGTGATGAATTGTACTAGTAGGCTCTATTTGTAGTCATATTGACAAGTTGTGGCAAATTAGATCCAATAATTAGCCTACTCTAACTGCACTATTGTCATGTCAAACTAACTTTGATTTGAAAATATCTCTGATTGTAGGATCTAATGAGTGACCTCTTAGTGAAGTGATTTTTTAAAAACAACTTCATTATGCCTATTAGTAAATTATGTGCTAGTGTGTGTGTGTGTGTGTGTGTGTGTGTGTGTGTGTGTGTGTGTGTTTTAGAGGGAGGAAGAGGGGGAGAGAGAGAAAGAGAAACATTGATGTGAGTGAGAAACGCTGATAAGTTTCCTCTGACCTGGGATTGAGCCCACAACCTGGTTATCTGCCCTGACCAGGAATCAAACCTGCCACCTTTTGACAAATGAGTCGATGCTCCAACTGAGGTACACAAGCCATGGCTATTTTGTGTTTTTGTGGGTTTTTTTGTTAATCCTCACCTGAAAATTATTTTTCCCATTACTTTTCAGAGAGTATAAGGTGGGGAGACAGGGAGGGAGGGAGGGAGAGAGAGAGAGAGCGCGCGAGCGAGAGAGGGAGGGTTATGAGAGGGATACATTGACTGGTTGCCTCCCACATGCATCCCAACTGGGGGGCGAGAAGCAAACTGGGCACCCAGGTACATGCCCTTGACTAGGTTTTTGAACCTACGATCTCTCGGTGCACAGGCCGACCTCTAACCTTTGAGTAGTACTGGCCAGGACAATTTTGGTGTGTTTTTTTTAAGGTAGAATTATATTATTGATGGCATATTTTCTGTCATTTGACTTTTAGTTATTCAATGCTTCCTTAAATATAACACTTGTTTTATGTCTAAGATATTGCAAGGCAGGTAGCTATAATAAAGAAAGATGGAAGTGCCCTGGCTGGTTTGGCACAGTGGGTAGAGCATTGGCCTTTGGACTGAGGGTGGTTCCAGGTTCGATTCCGCTCAAGGGCATGTACCTTGGTTGCAGGTACATCCCCAGTAGTGGGTGTGCAGGAGGCAACTGATCCATGTTTCTCTCTCATCGATCTTTTAACTATCCCTCTCCCTTTCTTTCTATAAAAATCAATAAAATATTTATTAAAAAAAAAAGATGTAAGCAAAACATCTCAATTTAAAACAAAAGGGCTAATCCCATGCTGTAAATTGACACACAGTTTATTTTACTGCATCTGAGACTAGAGGAAAATAAAACTAGGAAACCTTTTAATGGCAAGATATATTATGCCCTTGAAAGCTTTGTGTGTGTTTGGTTGGTTTTTGTTTTTTGGTTTTTTTTTTTGTTTTGTTTTTTGCTATTTATTTATAAATAAAAAATAGTACTTCTTAAAAGGTACCTTACAAATAAATAAAAACTGTTACCTACTCAAATTTTTTTTTATCATACTAATGCTATGATAAGATGCTTTTGCAACATTTTAAGAATAAATTGTGCATTCATGTAGGTTAAAAGTTAAAAAAAAAAAAGCCGAAACCGGCTGGCTCAGTGGATAGAGCGTCGGCCTGCGGACTGAAAGGTCCTAGGTTCGATTCCGGTCAAGGGCATGTACATTGGTTGTGGGCACATCCCCAGTAGGGAGTGGGAGTGGGCAAGAGGCAGCTGGTCGATGTTTCTCTCTCATTGACATTTCTAGTTCTCTATCTCTCTCCCTTCCTCTCTGTAAAAATTCTATAAAATATATATATTTTAAAAAGTTTAAAAAAATACTTCAGTCATAATGTTTTAATGTGAACTTTCCTATTTAAGTACTGTGATTTAAATGTCTTTAGTATTACAACTGTGTATGTACCTAATGCTAAGTATAGGATGGTTTTCTATAATTTTAGGACTATGTTCATTCAATGCTTGGACTTGCAAACATCAAAAAAGCTATTGAAGAAGCTGAAAGACTCTCTGAAAGCCTTAAACTCAGGTATAGACATTATTATTTTAAAATCTAGTTCCTAAAAATAAGTTCTGTGTTAACAGAACACAAAAATTAAAAAAAAAAAAATTCTCTATCACTTACATTATGTTTATGTGTTACCATTAATTTTCTTTACTGAAGTTTTTTAAATGCTTAGAATGATAAATTAAGGTAAGCATTAGTATAGTAGTTTAGAGCTTAGGTCTCATTTTATTCTCAAGTTTCGAACATGATTCTTCAGAAAAATATTCCTTTGCTCCATCTTGTGATGTGCTATTAGATGCTGGTCTGATGAGAATAAATTATTTACTGTAGTTTGATCTGCCTGGTTTCAGAAGTTATATATGTGTTGTTTTTTTTAATCTAATTCTAGTATTTTCCATGACTGGTTTACCAAACTTATAAATAGAAATTAAAAATAGTATGTTTCAATTTTTAGTCATTTTTTTAAGTAACAAAATAAAAAGGGAACTTTTTAGTTCAATATTTTTCTTTAATGTTTTTCGTACCTGGCTCAGTTAACTATTATATCATAGCCTTGACTTAAAATTATCTTTTTAAACTGATATATTCCCTTCATCCTTTCTAGAATTACTCATCTTGGGTCTAGAATATGTTAAGGTGGTTGATATCATTAAGAATCACTATTCTCTTTCTTCTTTAGCCAACCAAATAAGTAGAATAGCATTTCTCCTAATCTTTGGATTAACCATTATTAACTATTTTTTCCCCTTGGGTTTGCCTATTTTTCTCTATAATCATACTATTATAATCATATTTATTTCCTCTTTTTTTGGGGGGGGGGTTAGGTCCTTTCATTTATTTGTTGTCTGTACTTATTAGTATTTTTAATCACTTTATAAGTGAGTGAGGTTTATAGTTAATTTTAGGATTTTAGGATTATAAATCCTTTCAAAAGGAAATTGTAGCAGATTTGAGTCATTAAAAGGTTGAAATTAATGGGAGGGGAAGAGCAACAGGAGCATTAAGCAACTTTAACTTGAGAGTATAGAGTTTCTTTTCAAAATTTTTGGGCAATTTATGTAAATCTAAAAAGGGCACATTTGCGAGTTGTGGCTTATAATGACCAATGGCATCAGTTGGAGGGAGAAAATATGTACCCAAAGCAGGGTACTAGTATCATGTACCTGGAACTCCTTTACTTTTTATGATCATTGCAAGACATCTTGACTTCTCTTTTCAACTAGATACGAAGAAGCCGAAGTTCGGAAAAAACTTGAAGAAAAGGACAGACAGGAGGAAGAGCAACTGCAGAAACAGAGAAGACAGGAAGCAGGAAGAGAGGATGGTAACACATCAGCTAAAAACTCTTTGGAAAATGTATTGGATTCCAAAGATAAAACCCAAAAGGTATTTTAAATTTATTCTGTGAGATAAAAAGACTCTTCTCAGATGATCTGTTTAAGAAAATTGAAATATCACTACAACGTTCATTTGGGCAGCCAGGGTAAAATTTAATGTGTTTTTATTAGAAACTGAATAAAATATTCTAGCTTCAATTGGTTTTCTTACAGGTTTTTGGTTTGTGGTTACTATGAGATTCATATATAACAAGCTGTGTTTATTGCAGTCTGTTTTAAGTTGATGATCGCTTACAATTGCATTTTATGTTTTTCGATTATTTTTTTATTTTATTTTTTAATATATTTTATTGATTTTTTACAGAGAGGAAGGGAGAGGGATAGAGAGCTAGAAACATTGATGAGAGAGAAACATCGACCAGATGCCTCCTGCACACCCCCTACCAGGGATGTGCCCGCAACCAAGGTACATGCCCTTGACCGGAATCGAACCTGGGACCTTTCAGTCCGCAGGCCGACGCTCTATCCACTGAACCAAACCGGTTTCGGCTTACAATTGCATTTTAAAAGCTCCATTTTTAAAAAATCTTAATGACTATTCAAGACTATTGTAATATGGGAGATTGAACTCAATGATGCTTAAACAAAATGTAGGCAGATTTTTATTCATTTTATTTAGTTAGTTTAAATTATATTGATCAGATTTTTATATTTTTAAAAAATATATTTTTACGTATTTATTTCAGAGAAGGGAGGGAGAGAGATAGAAACATTAATGATGAGAGAGAATCATTGATTGGCTGCCTCCTACATGCCCCTACTGGGGTTCGAGCCTTCAACCCGGGCATGTACCCTTGACTGGAATTGAACCTGAGACCCTTCAGTTCGTAGACCGAGGCTCTATCAACTGAGCCAAACCATCTAGGGCTAGGCAGAGTTTTAAATGCTGATTAGCTCAGGGAAAAGTATTAGTGTATGTTAGTGTAGAAGATTGGTCATTGTGAAGGGCATCTGTGTTTGCTAATTGTCAGTTATGGAAGTTAGGCTCCTACCCTCCCAGAGACAGGGAAATAGGGGCCCTACATTTAAAAAGAAAAATTATTGTTGTAAAATACACATACCATAATATTTAATACCTTATCCAGGTCAGTGGTATTGATAACATTCGCATTGTTGTGCAGCCATCCACTGTTCATCTCCAGAACTCCTTTTATCTTGCTAAACAGAAATTGTATCCTTTAAACCAGCGATCCCCAACCTTTGGACCTACGGACCACCTGCTGCTTTATACAATAACTCCCCAAACATCCTTCCCCCCAGCTCCTGACACCCACCACTGTTTTCTGTCTATGCATTTGACTACTCTAGGTACCTCATATGAGTGGAGTCAGATTCTACATTTTTACTAGTCCCCAATGTTTATGTTTTTGACATATTTTACACCTTTTGTGTGAGTTTGTCTGTGAGTGTATCCATTAATTAATATAGTTACACATGATCTTACTTTGTCTTTTAACCTTCTTACTAGTTTTATCCATGGTTGATGCCTACTTTTACTAAATGTTTGCCTATATTAGTGGTTTTTCCCCCCAGTATTTTATTTTTTAATATATTTTTATTGATTTCATAAAGGAAAGGAGAGGAAGAGAGAGAAACATCAATGATGAGAGAATTATTGATGCGATGCCTCCTGCACACCCCCTTCTGGGGGTAGAGTCCACATCCTGGGCATGTGCCCTTGAACCCAGGACCTTTTAGTTGGCAGGCCGACACTCTATCTGCTGAGCCAAACCAGCTAGGGCTCTTCCCAATATTTTAAAATTTTTACTATTGGCTGTTTCTTTTCACTTTAAGAAGTCTCTTTAACATTTCTTGTATTGTTATTTTAATGATATTGTGCTCCTTTAATTTTTGCTTCTCTCAAAAACTATCTCTTCAATTCTGAATGATTATCTTGCTGGATAGAATATTTCTAGGTTTTCCCTTTCTTCATTTTGAATATGGCATGCCAGGTAATAGCCCAATTTTTGTTTCATTGTAAGAAATATTCTCATTAAATTAAATTATAAATTTCTCTAACAATCTGTGCTTTTAAAATATATTTAGCCAACAACTGAAGAAAATTTTAAAGAAATGTCATATGATTCAGATATGCTGCAAGTTATTTTAGCTGTTAACTACCGCCATAGTAACCTGGTAATGCCATTGCTGTTCATTTGCATTTTTATAAAATGCCTGTACCCTGAGCCCTTTATTTCCTAGGCATTCAGTTTCAATGAGATATTAAAGTTGATATTAAAATTTTTGGTTCTATGAACATTTTTGTTTCTATTATTAAATTTGAAACTTTTTTTTCTATTATATAGATAAATGGTGGAAAAAATGAGACCACAGAGAAAGGTAAGTGTTAGCTTCAGATTTTACACAGTGAGATTCTAATATTGTCTCATCCTATATAATGAAAAGCTAATATGCAAGTGGACTGAACAACAGAACAACCAGTTGCTATGATGCACACTGACCACCAGGGAGCATATGCTTAATGCAGGAGCTGCCCCCTGGTGGTCAGTGCTCTCCCACAGGGGGAGTGCTGCTCAACCAGAAGCCAGGCTCATGGCTGGCGAGCACAGCAGTGGAGGCAGCGCAGCAGTGGAGGTGGGAGCAGCAGAGCATTCTCCGAGGGCTTCCATGCATTGTCTCACTAATAGAAAGATGTAGAAGGCTGGTCAACCTTGAAGCTCTGAAAGGTCAAAGCCCAATCTAATTGAGACAGTGGTAACTGAGGTAACTTCCCCATCAAATAATCATGTAAATCCTTACTGATATGTTAATCTGCCTACTACCTGCCTAAGGGCTATGGGTGTATTCCATAGTCTCAGTAAAAGTGATAGCAAGGCCAGAGCCTAGTGGTAGTCCTTCCACTAGAGGTGGGCTCCTGCCTGGCTCCCCATTTCCCAAATTAAATTTTTTCTAGTCTTTTTTCATTTGTGTGCGGCCTTCTCCAGAACCCGAACCCTAAACCACGTGGGAGGTAAAAGGAGTTCCCACACTTCCGGACTGCGAAAGGGCATGGGTTGGGCTGAGGGACACCCCCCCCCTCCCCCCCCCCCCCCCCCCCCCCCCCCCGCGCGCACGAATTTTGTGCATTGGGCCTCTAGTCTGTATATAAGCTAGCCTGTACAAATACACTGCAAATGTATTCTATTCTGAATTTATATATCATGGGTTATATTTATGATATTACCTGGTGCATGAATTCATGCTCTAATGGGGTCCCTCGGCCTGGCCTGCAGGATCGGGCCAAAACCGGCTCTCCAACTTCTCCTGAGGTGTCCCAGATTGTGAGAGGGCACAGGCAAGGCTGAAGGACCCCACCAGTGCACTATCGGGGTTAGGGAGGGCCACAGGAGGTTGGCCAGCCAGGAGAGACCACATGAGGGTTCCAAGGCATGTCTGGCCCATCTGGCTCATTCCCAATCGGCTGGACTCCAACAGAAACTGAATTGGAGCATCTGCTCCCTGGTGGTCAGTTGCACGTCATAGGAAGTGGTTGAGCAGCCTTAGCATATCATTAACCTATTACGTTTTGATTGGTTGAATGGATGACCAGACATTAGGCTTTTATTATATAGGGTGCAATTGAAAACATCAAAACCACAGTTTGCAGTTGTCACTGTTTTCTTTTCAAGGTAGTTTAACATAGTAGTTAAGAACATGGGTTCTCAGAAGTGAGTCTGCCTGGGTTTAACCCTTTGCACTCCGAACCATTCTGGACATTGGCTACCAGCTACTCGACGCTAACGGCGGAAACGTGCGTTGAGTTAACTCAATTCCCCGTAATCACTAATAAACTGCAATGTCCCCTGAGAGGGGACATCCGAGTGATATGCTAGAATTCCGATGTCCCCTGAGAGGGGACAGCGGAGTGCAAAGGGTTAAACATTGGACGTAGGATGGTTATTAGCAGCTAGGTTTTTTTCCCTCACCTGAGGATATGCTTTTTTTTTGTTTTGTTTTGTTCCATGTTGTTTAACCTCTTTAACTTAATTTCCCTTTTTTTTTAAATTTTCATTTTAAATAATTGTCTTTATTTATTTTTATTTTTTTGTTAATACTCTCCTAAGGATATTTTTCCATTGATTTTTTTAAGAGAGAGTGCAAGAGAGGGGCAGAGAAAGAGAAACATTGATGTGAGAGAGACACATTGATTGGTTGCCTCCTGCACGTGCCCGACCAAGGCTGGGGATCAAGCCTGCAACCGAGCAAGATACATGCCCTTGACCAGAATTGAATCCAAGACCCTTCAGTCCATGGCACAACGCTCAATACACTTAGCCAAGTGGACTCGGGCTTAATTTCCCTTTTCCAAAGGGGGTAATAATAGTACCTGTTTCATAATGTTACTGATGTGGATTTAATGAGTTAATATATGTGAAACTCATAGAATGCACAATAAACTTTATAGAAGTATTAGCTAATACTATTTATAACTTTCAGTTGAAGACAATTATTTAAAAATCTTCTTTACTCCCTTAAAAAATCTAAACAAGTAATTTTGGTATTATCCTCGGGTGGTGTGGATGCGGCAGTCGCCAACCAGTGGTCCTTGGACCACTAGTGGTTCACGAGGTCCGAAAGGTTGGCGACCACTGCTCTAGTGACAAATATATGACCTAAATAATAAGACTTAGGTAGCTGCCCTAAGTTTTTGTCTCAGAAAAGGTTTAACTTAAATATTGTGTAACACTAAGATAAATTATTTACTTAAAATATTGTCATTCAACAATAAAAATTAAACCCAGTAAAGTACATTCCTAGAAGTTGTTACCAATTCATTCTGAGATTTTTTTTTCCCTTCATTTTGAGATTTGTTTTTATCTGTTCTTTTATACCTCATCCTGCTTTGATATAACCCTTCTCAGTGGTTTGGTCTCAACCTGTTTAGATTCTTTTGTTGTCAAGATAGTCTTGATGGTTAGAAAGGGACGTAGGATGGTTATTAGCAGCTAGGTTTTTTTCCCTCACCTGAGGATATGCTTTTTTTTTGTTTTGTTTTAGAGACAGTATGAGAGAAAGAGAAACATCTATGTGAAAAACATAGATTGGTTGCCTCCATATGCACCCTTCCCAGGGATCAAACTGGCAACGTGGGTATGTGCTGTGACCAGGAATCAAACCTATCACCTTTGGGTGTATGGAACAACAGTCCAACCAACTGAGCCACACCAGCCAGGGCAGTAGCTAGATATTTTAGCTTAGGAGATAATGTGACTACATTCTTCTCACAGCTCACTAACAAAGAAATAGTTCTTCCCATATTAAGCTCCCTTGTAGTGCTTTTTGATCTTTTACTTCAGGTGGTAGCAGCTGGAAGAGGAAAATAGCAACATAGGGAATATTTATTTTGGCTAAATGTTAAAGGGTTGGATAGTAAATACTTTAGGCTTGGTGTGGCCATGTGGTCTTTGCTATTGTAGTGTGAAAGCAGCCATAGTCAATATGTAAGCAAATGAGTATAGCTGTGTTCCAATAAAAACAGGTGGCCATGGTTTGCGAAGCCCTCTCATGGAACACAAATAACAGGCTTTTGGCTTGTTGCTCAGGGAATACTTGAAAATCTAAAATAGCTCTCATAAAGCCCCATTAAAGAACTTAGACCCTTTTAAGAATTTTTGAGCCATAGAAGTTTCTTCTGATTGACATTGTTTTTGCATGGCTTATTTAAAAATATATAATATTTTTGTGAGATACATTTATTAATTTCCTTTATTTTAAACCAGTAACATAGCCAACACCAGAAATAATTGTAAACTCAGCAGCAAATTTTATTAAATCTTTATAAACAGAGCATTGAGTTAGTGTTTGGCAAATGTAAAAAATGCATGTTATGATGGATAATTAACGTACACCTATGGGTGAGGACAATGGGGGTGGGCAGAGGTAAGGGCAGAGGGTGGGGTGGGAACCAGGTGGAAGGGAGCTATGAGGGGAAAAAGGAGAAAAAATTGTAATAATCTTAGCAATAAAGATTTATTAAATTTAAAAAATGCACGTTATATTTAATATTAGTTTAAAAGGTAATAAATAGTGTGATGGAAAAGCAAGTATGTAACACCTAGTACATTTTACTTTTCTAGAAAAAGCTGTGCTTGCCCTGTGTTTAGTGAAAGATAACACACAGACTGGGTGTTACTTGTCACTAATATTACCTCTCTTGATTCCTAGGATCAATCACAGCAAAGGAACTATACACAATGATGATGGATAAAAACATCAGCTTGATTATAATGGATGCTCGAAAAATGCAGGATTATCAGGATTCCCATATTTCAGATTCTCTAAGTGTTCCTGAAGAAGCCATCAATCCAGGGTGGGTCATTGTGTGTTTAGATGGAACGGTAAACTATGGAGAGTAGTAAATGTTAATTATCAGCATCCTATTTAAATGTGATATATGTAATAGTGTTTTCTTTTCCCATTGACCTTTTCATTTTTTGCTCGTATTGGCACACCTTACCTAGTCTGGGTGCTCTCTCCTGTCTGTGGTATTTGGAGTCTTAGAAGAGAAATGAAGCCAGTCTTATGTACTCTCCCCCCAGGTGTTCGTTGACTAACTTCTTGTGCTGTATTTTATGTATGAGCTTTTGAAGCATATGCATCAAATAGACTAAAATTGTGAACTAATTGAATTGTTTTTAATTGGAAATTTCCCATACTATTATGTGGTAAAAGAGCACACAAATACTTTTTTGAAGAAGACAGTATATAAGCCACTGAAAGAGTAAAGACTTTAAAAGCAGACTATGGTGAGATTATAATGTCTTTTCTTAGCTACCTTACTTCTAGCTAGTGATTTAACCTCTTAAGCCCATGTTTCCATCTATAAAAAGGGAATAATAAAAGTATTTATCTCAGAGATTTTGAGAAATTTTATACACACACACTTAGCATAGTACCTTTCATTTGTAAGGACTTAACTTAAAAATGTATTTTCTTTCTTTTTTTTGATAAAAAAGCTTTTAACCTATAAAATTAAAAGTTACCATGCATGGATATGTTGTATATTAGAAACTATCTCATCAGTAACAGAATTAAAACTTCAGATCCAAGGTTATTTTCAATATTTTGAATATTATATAAATTATGTAACCTCTCTGGGTCTTAGTTTATGGGATTGGAGTAGGTCCATTCTAGGACTAACAACATTAAGAAGATATTTTTTAAATTAGGTAATTAATAAGATTTGCATAATATTTGGTGTACTGCAGATATTTGCTAAATGTTTGACCTGAAGAATACATTGTAAATATGTTATTTGTCTAATCTGTGTATCAATCTATCTAGCTATTTATAATATTTATTCAGATTTTAAATTAACTAGTGTAGCTGGATGACTTTTTTACAAAACAAGGTGGCCTCTGTCATTCCCTCTATCATTCCTCTACTATGAACCACTAAACAGATTAGTAACTACATTATTTAAATATAAGATTCAAGTTCTTAGTCTAATCAAGTAGGTGTGAATATATTCACAGGATTTGAAAAGAAAAGGAAAGTTATAACTACTCTTTGGGTAGTCTAATCTGTACTAACAAAAAGTTTATGGTTTTTATTGAGTTTGTTTCCCAAAATGTGGGATTTGGATTACTGAGAAACTCGAGGTGAGTTTAGGTTGAAGATTAAAGAACAATGAATTAAAAATAAACAAACAAACAAACAAATAAATAAATAACAATGAATTGCATACCAAGAAAAGTATTCCCTTTTTATTTCTGTTTCAGTCCTGAATTAGTTAAAAGAAGTCTCAATTTGGTGCTAGCATTACCTTTTAATATTTGCTAATCTCTCTTTCTTACTAGAGAGCAGGCCTCAGAGTTTTCTGTAGGCAGCAGTGTCTACAGCTACCTGACAGTGATAACTCTATTTTTAATGTTAGTATTTATACAATAAGAATGCTTATATAAGTATTTAACCCAGTGAATAGTCAAAAATGGAATGCAACCATTGAGTTAGTATCTGGACCAAGAAACATTATCATCACTCTAAAAGGTCCTCATAAGCTACCTGTCAGTTACTACAGATACTCCCACCCACCAGGGAACCACCAATTTAGAATAGATTCCTTTTTATCTGTTTTTATAGTTTATAAATGGAATCTTACAATCAGTAGACTTTTATATCTGGCTTTTTGTACTCAACCTAATGTTTATGAGAGTCATATATATTATTATGTGTTATAGTAATTTATTTATTCTTATTGCTAAATGGTGATCTATTGGGTGAATATAACATAGTTTAATGATCTATTTTAATTTTAGGGTTATTTATTTTTAGTATTATCCTTTATTGGATATGATCCTATTTTTCCATATATAAGAATATACATTTTTCTGTTAAGTTTATTTAAGTAAAGGATCACTTTCAATTAAATTAATGAATAATTAAAGTATTAAATAGTAGACAAGGTAAAGCAAAGTTGTAGCAGTGTGTGAAGATGATACTGGTTGATATTATTGTTTTCCACAGAATAGTAATCTTGAGTTTGTAGATAAAAATTATTTAGGCAAGAATATCCCTGCAGTTAAAAATAGTCCTTAAGAATATCACATTTCAATTTTTCTAATTCTTTGTTGACTAAGCATTCTTCTGATTTCAATATATCAGATGAGAATTATTATGAGGCATTTTGTATTCTTTTTTTTTTTCTTTATATTCTAATAGGTAAAATAACCAACATTATTATGTATAGGATTTTTTTTAAAATGATCTTAACATCATATGGTTTTACTTATGAATAAAGTTTCACCTGTTCTGTCTTGCTTGCCAGTATCATCATCTAAATAAGTGCCCAGGTACTTTGTTAGAAATAATATGGAGTTTCTTACCTGGAGGAGCAAATCTGTCTTACTGACTCAGTTATTCAGCAGATGTTTACTGAGCACTTGCTATAGGCTGGGTTCCTATGGTTCTCAGTGCTGGGACTAAGTCAGTTGAACAAACAAATCTTCGCTTCATGGAGCTTATATTTTACTAGGGGCCCAATGCATGAAATTTGTGCAAGGGGCTTGGTCCCCGCCACCGCAGTGGCCTCCTCTGCCTCAGCCCTCACAGCCCCAGCTTCGTCTGGAAGGTCGTCCAGAAGGACATCCAGTCTAATTAGCATATTATGCTTTTATTATATAGGATTAACTGGGAGATGAGGTAGATGAGACTGTCAATAAAATTTAAATATATGTCTGCTGTTTAAGTACTATGGAGATGGGTGTGTCAAACTTGTTTATTGTAGTGATTATTAAAATGTTAATTCAGTATGGCTTCATTGAGAAGATATTAGTGAGCAAATCTTGAGGGGATGAGGGGAATGACTGATGCATTATCTGAGGGAAGCATACTAGAAGTTATAGGGAAGCCAGTGCCTGGAGTGGAGTAAAGGGGGCAAGTACATAGTTATAATGAGGACATTGAGAGAGTAGGGTTTGGGGGAGGGGCCATGTGCAGGCCCATTGTAAGGACTTAGGGAAGAACTTCAGCTATTCCTAAGCAAAAGAGAAAATGAACAGCATAGAGTTGATAATACTCAGTTAATGAGGTGACACCACAAAGCAGCAAAGAGCTTGGACATGAACCAGATAGCCTGAGTTTGAATTCTGGTTTCACTTCACAGCTGTAACCTTGGGCAGGTTATTAATTTTTGTGCCTCAGTTTCCCCATCTATAAAATGAGGATAACAATGCCTACTTTAGAGTGTTGTCGTGAGATTCAGAATAAAGCTTTTGGAATAGTATTTGGAATAGTAATAAATGCTGTATGTGTTTGTTAAATAAATATTTGGGTATTTGGTTAACTATTAATTATAGGTATCAGAACTGAAATATAAATAACATTACCTGGATGATCTTCCACTTGTTTACACTTGGCTGAGAGATGCTCATAAGGGTTTCTGTTTTCAGTTTGGTCCCCCATTATTTGGTAAAGGGTCAAATTTTAGTCTCTAATACTAAAATATATTCCAATAGTATGCAGTTGCGATGTTATTAAACATTTTAGGGTATTTAGTATCTTTAACACATAGTCTGACCTTAGAAAGAAATCTGTCTTAAAGTTTTCTGTGGTGTGATACAGACTGGAGAACAAAACTCTGTGTCTAATGTTAGTATATTAGGACCTTTCATCTACTTTTGCCCCAATATAAATGTTAATACATTTCAGAATCACTGCTAGTTGGATTGAAGCAAAACTCCCAGATGACTCTAAAGACAAATGGAAGAAGAGGGGGAATGTGGATTATGTGGTACTTCTTGACTGGTTTAGTTCTACAAAAGATTTGCAACTTGGAACAACTCTACGGAGTCTGAAAGATGCACTTTTCAAGGTTAGCAAGTTTCCTTATTAGTTTACTATAATTGCAAGCCTTCTCTGGTTGTTAGAAAGGTATGTTGACTAGTTTATCTTAAGGACAAGAAGATCCATTGTGCTTTGGTTGTAGATTTTTTTGATATTTAGATATAAAAGACTAATTTTGAAATAACAAATAACAGTCTAAAGTAGAATATTAGAATTTTCATAAATAGAACTTTCTGAAAAAAAGTTATTTTTTGTTTTAAGAATTAGATTCTGAAACAAGGACAAAGGAAAGTGTCACTAAGAAAAAAGAGATTGACTTGACTTCATAAATAAAAACTTAGATGTTAAAAAACATTTTGTAAGAAGACAAACAGAAAGATACCTGTCTAAAATCCAGAGATTTTACAAATAAATAAGCAAATTAAGATGAAATGATAAAATAAGTAGTTGACTCAGACATAAACAGGAAAGGAGATGTAAGAGATAATAACAAAAGTGGCCAAATCAGAGAAATTCAAATTGAACCAATGAATACCATTTTCACTGATCAGATGAACCAAGATAAAAGTAATCAGTTTAATTTGTTAAATTATTAAACAATGATGGCACTGAATGCTGGTGAGAATGTGGTAAGAATAAAACCTGCTGAAAGAATGGTCAGTTGATGGAACATTGTCTCCTACCAGGAGGGCAATCTTAAAAGCCTTGAAACAGTTCATGCTTTAAAATAGGGAATCTAGCCCTAGCTGATTTGGCTCAGTGGATTGAGTGTCAGCCTGTGCACTGAAGGGTCCCAGGTTCCATTCCAGTCAGGGGCACACGCCCGGGTTGCGGGGCAAGCAGGAGGCAGCCAATCAATGATTCTCTCTCATCATTGATGTTTCTCTCTTTCCCTCTTTCTTCCTTCCATCCTTCCCCCCTTCCCTCTCTCTCTCTCTCTATATATATACATATAATAGGGAATCTAGAAATATACCCAAGGATAAGTTGATATATGAAAGTGCCAATATTTAACTAGTATTGACCTACAAAAGAAACAATTTCATAAAGTTCAACCTATTTGAGAATTTAGTGTATGATAAAGGTAACAAATTAGTGAGGAAAAGATGGATTTAAATGAATGGTTTAGGGACAGCAGCAGGCTAGTCAGTAAGTAAAAGGGTCTGTACCTTAATTTCTTAGACTACACTAGACTCCAAATGAGTCAAAGATATAAATATGTTGATTGAAACAATGAACTAGGAAAAAGGATTTTTATTTTCTGGGGGGGAAAGTGTTTTCATGATCTTGATCCTAAAGCAAAACACATTAAGGAAAGTCAATATATCTCTTTTAAAAACTTCATAAATAAGGTAAAAATCAATCGGGACAGATTTTGTCCTGACAAAGACCTTTTAAATATTCAGGGTACATTTGCCATTTTACTACAAGAATAGCAAACTCTGTAGAAAAAGATGAGATTAAATCATCTTCTATATGTATAAAAAGCCAGTGTCTGCGACCAAACGGCCAGTCACTAAGAGGCACCTTGAGTACCTGTTGGTCGCTGCCCCCCAGCCTGAGAGTGGGGCAGGGCAGGGCTGGGGACTGGCGAGCTGGCTGAACGGCTGACCTCTCGGTCCTTGCCCCCAGCCGCAGGCTCCGGTGGATCAGTGATGGTGAACGTGGGAATCAGGGTTGGTGGCAGGAGGACTGGGCTGGTTGTTAGGCCGTTGGGATAACCAGCTCACCCCCAGCTGCTCAGGGGCTAAGGCCTGTGGGAAAGCAGGTGCTGGTGAATTCACCTCCATAGTTGTGCTCCAGGCTGGCCACTGATGGAATGCACTGCCAGCTGATGGAACGCACTGCCCACTTTGGGCCGCTCATACCGGGATGAATAGGTTGTGGACGCGCCCCGCAGCTTCTGTTGGCGCCTCTAGTCCCAGCAGCAGTGGCAGTGGCAGCAGTGGTGGCTTGAGTGGCCCTGAGCAGGCAGCGCTTTCCAACAGTGGCCGAGACATGCATGGAGGTGAAGTTGCCAGCGTCTGCTTTCCTGCAGGCCTGAGCCCCTCAGCAGCTGGGGATGAGCTGGTGATCCCAACTGCCTGACAGCCTGGCAGTGGAGGCAGTGTTTGGCCTGGGGACTGGTGAATGGGCAGAAGATGGCCCTGATTGCAGGAGGCTAGGCCCTAGGGACCCTCCCCACATGATCTCATGCGCTGGGCCTCTAGTATAATATAAATGACTAATAAACATATTAAAAGATGTTCAGTTTCACTAATAGATGCTAATTAAAATAGCATTTATGCCCACCAGTTTGGAAAAATCGTAAAGACTTATATTGGACATTCTCATACACTATTAGTAAGTATAAAAATTGGTATTATCCTTTTGCAGGGCAATTTGACAGCATCTAACTTTTAAGTCAATAGTTCTCCTGGGATATTATTCTACAAAAATAAATTTTTTTTGAGGATCCTTTCAAAGAATAGCAATATAAAGATGTTCATGTGCATTGGCTCCGCACCTACACTTTGGGGATATTCCCTAATGCAGTTGATTGAGTGAATACATTTATAAGGAAGGATCTTCAATGTTTATAAGTAACTGGGGGAAATAACAATAAGTGTTCAAATGATGAATTCAGTTTTGGTGTATATGTATGTGTGTTTACATGTGCGTATAAAATAGAATATTAGCTAGTCATTACAAATGACATACAGCTCTTTGTTAATAAAAGACATAAGATAAAAGCATCATCATAAAAGTTTCATTGTTTTTGTAAAAATAATGTTAAAAATGTGTGTATTTTTGTAGAAAAGTAAGAATAAACTGCAATATTAAAATGGTATCTCTGGATAGTGAGGTTATAGATCGGTTTATTACATATAGACTTATTTTTCTTCTAAGATCATTGATTACTTGTCTGGCTTTAAAAATCTGATCTATCCATTTGTTTCATTTAATGTTGAATTTTTAATTCTGCTCTCTTTTTTTTAAATATATTTTTATTAATTTCAAAGAGAAAGGGAGAGGGAAAGAGAAATAGAAATATCAATGATGAGAGTGAATCATTGATTGGCTGCCTCCTGCACATCCCCTACTGAGGATCAAGCCTGCAACTTAGGCATGTGCCCTTGGCCAGAATTGAACCTGGGACCCTTCAGACTGCAGGCTGACGCTCCATACACTGAGCCAAAGCAGCTAGGGCCTGTTCTTTTTTTTTTTTTTTTTTTAATCAGAAGATAAATCTTCAAGAGACCAATTTTTAAATTCAGGTTTGTTGTGTTCTTAGCTGCCATATTAAAAACACTATTTCCTTATTTTATAGTGGGAAACTAAAACTATCCTGCGCAATGAGCCTTTGGTTTTAGAAGGAGGCTATGAAAACTGGCTTCTTTGTTATCCCCAGTACACAACAAATGCTAAAGTCACTCCACCTCCACGAGGCAAGAATGAAGAGGTGTCTATCTCATGTATGTATGTGAAAATTTTTTATTACAATTGCTTCAGTAAAATAAACTTTAAATTATTTATGTTCTTAAGGTAATGTTATTGTTTGTATGTGCATTTGTCCTAAGCTAGTAACTTGTTTTCAGGCATAAAAAATACGAGATGTTCATAGTCTGGAAGTTAATGTTTAATTCTTTTTTATTTTTTTAAGAATAGTTTGTTGATTTTTGGAGAAAGAGAGGAAGGGAGAAGGAGAGAGAGAAACATGGATGGGAGAGGGTAACATCGATAGGCTGCCTTTTGTACGACCCCTCCCAGAGATCAAGCCCACAACCTGGGCATGTGCCCTTGGGGAATCAAACTGGCAGCCTCTTGGTGCACCCAATCAAGCCAGGGCTAATTTTTAAATTTTATTATTTATTTATTTTTAGCAAAGGTAGAAACTTATTGAAGAACAAGTACAGACTCCCACTTGGGGAAGGGGAAATAATCTCACAACATAGATTCCCACATGGAGAGGGAGAAAGAGTCCCCTAATTTTTAATTTTTTTTAATACTATTATTACCTCATTTAGTTTACATTTAACTCTCACATACAGCATGCATGAATTATGTCAGTACTTTTTATGGAGTTTGCTGTTCTTTTAATTTCTTATTATTCTTTTGGGAATTTTAGTGGATTTTACTTATCCCTCACTGGAAGAACCAGTTCCTTCTAAACCTACTGTACAGATGCCATCTCTTCCTCTGGGTGAAAATATAGAATTCATAAATGTTCAAGATGAGAGAATGAGACAATTGACTTTATCAACTTCAATTGAACCAATTGTTACTTCTACGTCTGATGTTTCATCCATAATTCAGCCAGTGCCTATTGTAAAGAATTTTCCACAGGTAAGAATTTTCTTTGAAAGTTAACCTCATCTTCATACTGTTTCTTCCCAATTCATTTCTTCTTCTTTTTTTAATTACGTTTTTATTATTGATTTTAGAGAGAGAGGAAGGGAGAAAAAGAGAAACATCGAAGTGAGAGGGTAATATCCAATTGGCTGCCTCCTACATACCCCTTACTGGTATCAAGCCCGCAACCCAGACATGTGCCCTGACTGGGGAATCGAACCAGTGACTTCTTGATGCATAGAACAAATGCCAACCAACTAGGCCACACTGGCCAGAGCTGTCTCTTTTCTTTAAATATATAGGATAGAAGTGAAGGTTTATATATAACTTTAATATTTTAAAAAGAAAAATATCAATGAAAAGAATCTCTATGCTTTGGTACCTTTATTGCTATAAAATATTTTCATTATAATTCAATTCTGTTTAATACAGTAGTATTAAAATAGATAACTGGAAGATTTTTAAACCCATCTGGCGGTCTATTTACTGCAGGCAATACCAATAAAAAAATTTATTATTATCACAGTGAACTTGAACAACTCTTTCAACTTTTCTGATTTTTTTGTTTTTGGTTTTTTTTGTGTGTGTGTGTGTGCATTATTATTTAACCCACACTATTTTCCCAAATAGCTTGTCTTACAAATGATAAATATGTAATGTCAGCATTTGGTTTTGAAACAATGCTTTGTTTCCTTAGAATTTGGCATATAAATAACAGGCATTTATTAATAATAATAATATAAAAAATTTAGAATTTTTAAAGCTTATGTTATTGCATTTTTTTCAATTTAATCAACGTTATTGAATCCTTATTCCTTTGTGACTTTGAGATATGTGCAATTTATCAAATTTATTTTGAAGAAATTCTGTATGAAACAACATGAAGGTTTATATACAATATATGATTAAGCCATGAATTCTGTCTGATGTTTAGGAGAGTCTTATATAAAATCAGCCATAGCATAAGGCAGAATATCATAACTTTTCTAGTAGTCACTGGAAAGAAATTCTGACTGAGGGTATCAGGGATGTATTTACAGAGTTTTTATTGGGCATTAAGAGTTTAGTAAGATTTGAGGATGGAAAAGACAGAAAATTGTATGACTAAAGGCTCAGAGCATGCTTTACGGCTCATGAATAGTTTTGACATGCTTGGACGCAGCTAACTGTTGAGTATGGTGATCAGTAGTAGGTAAGAATGGAAAGATGGGCAAGAGTCATCAAGAGAGACTTGCATGAGATTGGAATTTTATCCTGTAGGCACAAGGAAACCACTTAAAGAATTTTAAACTTAAAAGTAACATGATCATAGATATGCTTTTAAGATTAAGGAAAAATGGCCGGGACCGGTTTGGCTCAGTGGATAGAGCGTCGCCTGCGGACTGAAAGGTCCCGGGTTCAATTCCGGTCAAGGGCATGTACTTTGGTTGCGGGCACATCCCTAGTGGGGGGGTGTGCAAGAGGCAGCTGATCAATGATTCTCTCTTTGATGTTTCTAACTTGCTGTCCCTTTCAATTCCTCTCTGTGTAAAATCAATAAAATATATTTTTTTAAAAAGATTAAGGAGCCGGGACCGGTTTGGCTCAATGGATAGAGCGTCGGCTTGGGGACTGAGGGGACCCGGGTTCGATTCCGGTCAAGGGCATGTACCTTGGTTGCGGGCATGTCCCCAGTGGGGGGTGTGCAAGAGGCAGCTGATCGATGACTCTCTCTCATCGATGTTTCTAACTCTCTATCTCTCTCCCTTCCTCTCTGTACAAAATCAATAAAATATATTTAAAAAAAAAAAAAAGATTAAGGAAAAATGGATTGATTTATCAAAATGTGTATGAAAACATTTATTCTGATTTCTATTCAACCTTTTATAGTTAACCTCATCTTCATAGTGATCCTTCCCACTTCATTCTCAAATGTAGAAAGCAAGAGGGGAGAATAGATTTTTAAAATACATATATATTTTGTATTGATTTCAGAGAGGAAGGGAGAGAGATAGAAATAAATGATAAGAGAGAATCTTTGATTAGCTGCCTCCTACACGACCTCTACTGGGGATTGAGCCCATAGTTGTGGGCTGGTGCCCTTGACTAGATTCAAAAAGGGGACTTTTCAGTCTGCAAGCTGACACTCTATCCACTGAGCCAAAGAGAAGTGAGGATCAAAGGAATGATTTTTTTTTTTTTCCCACTAACTTCTTCCTATGGTATCATTTTTTTAGTGGAAAAACATACAATCCATTTTATAGGACCACTATGCAGGTTGTTATTAGAAGATATTCTTGTAAGTTCTCATTTTTATTTTAGTAAACTGTCCTCACAAAAAATTATGCCAACATCACTTCTAAAGATTTTATAGGGTTAGTTAGTATGCAGTTAAATTGAAATAATAAACATTTACCTCAGGAATTTAGGTGATTTACTAGTCAACTTGTATTTAGGATCTTATCTCTTAGGAATATTTTATTCATTCTCACAACAATATATGTACTTATGACACATTCAGCACAGTCTCTACCCTCCTGAAACTTATATTCTAGGAGGGAAGAAGGTTTTAAACAAATAATTATAGTTATTTAATCAAAATTCTAATAAGTACTATTAGGGGGGAAAAATTGGGTATAAGGAGGGTATATATATCAGGGTACTTGATCTTTTCTAAAGGAAAGATATGTACATCAAGATATAATGCTGTGGTGGGAATTATCTAGATGAATATCTAATATGAAAGCTTGTGTTGGGAAGGAGCATAGCATCTTTGAAGAACAAGCATATACATCATAGAACAGAGTAGACAGCCTAGAAAAAACACACGCCTTATGGTCAATTAATATTGACAAAGGAGGAAAAAGCACACAAAGGAGTAAAGACTTCAATAAATGGTATTAGGAAAATTGGACAGGTATATACAAGAATCAACTTAAAATGGATAAAAGACTTAAAAAGCAAAGCCATAAAAATCCTAGAAGAAAACATTGGCAGTAAAATCTCAGACATCCCTTGTAGCAAAATTTTTTTTGCCAGTGCATCTCCTCAGATAAGGGAAACAAAGGGGGCAAAAAATGGCACTGCATCAAACTAAAAAGCTTTTGCACAGCAAAAGAAGCCATCAACAAAATGGAAGGCAACTTAACAGCATGGGAGACCATTTATCAGTGATACATTTGATAATAGATTAATTTCTAAAATATATAAAGAACTTCTACAACTCAACACCAGGAAGACAAACAACCCAATTAAAAAATGGGCAAAGGACTTGAATAGACACTTCTCCAAAGAGTATATACACATGGCCAATAGACACATGAAAAAATACTTATCATCACTGATCATCAGAGAGATGCAAATGAAAACCACAAGATACCATCTCACATCTGTCAGAATGGCTATCATCAATAAATCAACAAATAAATGCTACGAGAACTTGAAGAAAAGGGAACCCTTGTGCACTGTTGATGGGAATGCAGACTAGTGAAAACAGCATTGAGTTTCCTCAAAAAAGTAAAAATAGAACTGCTCTTGACCCAGCGATCCTACTCATGGGATATATCCTAAAAAACCTGAAACTCTAATTCAAAAAAATATATGCACCCCTATGTTCATTGCAATGCCAAGATCTGGAAACAGCCCAAGTGCCTATCAGTACATCAGTGGATAAAAGTGCTGTGCCTCATTTACACAACGGCTACATTTACACAGCGGAATACTATGCAGCTGTATAAAAGAAGGATTTCTTACCCTTTGAAATAGCATTGGAGGGACCTGGAGAGTATTATGCTAAATGAGAAAGATAAGTATCACATGTTCTCACTCGTCTGTGGAATCTGATGAGCAAAATAAACTGATGAGCAAAATAGAAGCAGGCATAGACACAGACTGACAGTTGTCAGAGGGGAGTAGGGTTGGAGGACTGGATGAAAGAAGGTGAGGGATTAAGAAAAATATATGCAAATTAACCATTACTACACTACTGCCAGAGCCATGACCACTAGCTAATCAGGAACGAGTATGCAAATTAACCCCAACCAAGATGGCTATGGCCACAGAGCGAGCAGGAGGGAGGCTTGGGTTTCCCTGGCGATGAAGGAAGCCAAGCTTTCCATGCAACCTGGGGGGCCCAGGCCTTCACTCAAGGGTCCAAAGTTTCAATTATAGAAGATAAATTCCAACAGAAATGGCTGCACCCGTGGAGCTGCAGAGAGCAGGAGGCTAGGGTTGCCCCTGGCAGTGGAGGAAGCCAAGTTTCTGCCTTGGCCTGCCTTGGTCTCCACTCAAAGCTACAAAGTTTAAATTATAGAAGATAAATAAATCCCAGATACCAGGGCCTCCGCTTGGGTCGCCAGGGAGCGTGGCTAGCCTGAAAACCACCAGAGGCCCCTCGCCCAGGCTGCCCTATGCCCCAAAGGAATCCCCATCCTGATCCGGGACACAGTTCAAGGCAAACCAGCTGACTCCCACCCTTACACCAGGTCTCTATCCTATCTAATAAAAGAATAATATGCAAATTGCTGTCACTCCAACACACAAGATGGCTGCCCTCATGTGGTCAAAGATCCTACCCCCATGTGGACACAAGATGGCCAGCAGAGGAAGGAAGTTGAGAGGGACCATGCCTGCAAGGGAGGGCAGTTAGAGGTGACCAGGCAGGCAGAGGAGGGAATTTGGGGGTGACCTGGCCTGCAGGGAAGGGCAGTTGGGCTAGGGGGTGGGGGGCCAGGCCTGCAAGGGAGAGCAATTAGGGGTGACCAGGCCTGAAGGGGAAGGCAGGGTGACCAGGCCTGCAGGGGAGGGCATTTAGGGGCAAACAGGCTGGCAAGGGAGCAGTTAAACATCAGTCAGGCTGACAGGGAAGTATTTAGGGTGTGATCAGGCTGGCAGGCAGAAGTGGTCAGAGGCAATCAGGAAGGCAGAAAGGCGAGCAGTTGGGAGCCAGCAGTCCTAGATTGTGAGAGGGATGTTTGACTTCCGGTTTAGGCCCGGTCTCAACGGGCAGTCGAACATCCCCTGAGGGGTCACAGATTGGAGAGGTTGCAGGCTAGGCTGAGGGACACCCCCTGCCCCCAGGACACCGGGCCTCTAGTACACACACACACACACACACACACACACACACTAGAGGCCCGGTACACAGATTCATGCACTGGTGGGGTCCCTCAGCCTGGCCTGCACCCTCTCATGATTCGGAACCCCTCGAGGGATGCCAATCTGATCTACACAGATCGTGCCAAAACTGGCAGTCGGACATTCCTCAAGGGATATAGTAGTGCATGAAGCAGCAGGAAGCCAGGGAGGAGACTGAGCCCAAGTCAAGTACCACGCCACTCCTGTTCATCCTGGCCCCGCCTTGCCCTCCACCACGCGATAGTGCTTCCACAGAGGCGGGAGAGGCTCGTGCCATCACACATGTTCTTGCCAGCTGCGAGCCTGGCGTCTGGCACCCATTGGTCAGCTGAGTGGCACTCCTGCCATGGGAGCACACTGACCACCAGGGGGCAGCTCCTGCATTGAGCATTTGCCCCCTGGCAGTCAGTGCATGTCATAGCAACCGGTCATTTGATCGCTTAGGCTTTTGTATATATAGATATAACACAAAGAGACAATAGAGTGGTGATAGAGGGAAAGGGGATTAGGGAGTAGGTGGAGGTTAGGGAAATGGGGACAGAAAGAGACTGCTTGGGGAGATGGGTGCATGATGCAGTGTGCAGATGGTATTATTATTGAGTTGTACACTTAAAACTGGTATAGTTTTTTGAATCGATGTTACCTCAATAAGTTCAATTTTTTTAAGTGAATAAATAATAAAATAAAAATAAAAGAGGAAAGTATGGATGGACCTAGAGAGCATTATACTAAGTGAAATAAGCCAGTCAGAGAAAGACAAGTACCATAGGAGCTCACATCTATATAGAATCTAATGAACAGAATAAACTAACAAATAGAATAGAAGCACTCATTCGGAGAACAGACTGATAGCTGCAAGAGGAGGGGGGTAGGTGAGCTGGGTGAAAATGGTGGAGGGAATAAGCAAAGGGAAAAAAAAACCTCAGAGACACAATAGTATGGTTGATTATCAGAGAGGAAGGGGTTGGGGGCTGGTAAAGGGAGTAGAGGGGGATAAATGGTGATGGAAGGAGACTACACTTGGGGTGGTGGATATACAGATGAATATACGCTAAGATATATAGATGATGTATTGTAGAATTGTACACCTGAAATCTAATTTTATTAACCAGGTCACCCCAACCTATTCAATACGAATGGGATGTGTGTGAAAAGGAAAGTATGGCTGGTATATAGGATGATATGAAATAAGATTGGAGAGATAGGCAGAAAGAAGTGAGACCAGCATGGTAAGGATTTTAGATGTCATCTGGGTACAGTGAGTTGCTGTTTAAAATAGGATTTTATGCAGGTGAGAAACATAGATTTGTTTTTCTGGCCACAATGTAGAGAAATAGAAGGGAGGCAAGAGAAGGGATGAGGCAACTAGTTGGAAGCTATGAAAGAATGTTGGTTGGCATGGACTTTGCTGATGCTAATGGAGAAGGAGGGTGAGAGAGGAGAATCATCAGACCACAGAAGGGCAGGGGAGAATATATGAGATTCAGTTTTCTAGTTTGAGCTGCTGTTTTGATAGTGTTTATATCCACAAGATAACCATGTTTGTTGGGGGAAATCATGGAATTCAATTTTGGGCATATTAGGTTTGTATTATATATGAGATACTCACATGAAGTTGTTGAGTAGGCAACTGAATTTGTAGTAATGGAGCTTAAGTCTAGGTATGCCCAGGTCTGGGTTTTATGTTTTAGAATTAACTCTTCCATATACAGAACACACCAAGATGTACTGAATGTGTGGAATTGAGAGTGCTAAGTGTTTCATGAGGGTAGTTTATAAATAGATATTCTGGCAGATTTTTTTTTTTTTATCACAACTAGATTTCAAGACATGAGTTCCTAGATTTTGACAAAAGTATGTTTTGTTCTGTTTTTGTTGCTATAGATTGATCGTACTAAAAAACCAGCAGTCAGATTGCCTGAAGATTATAGAATAAAATATGAAAGTACAGATCATGAGCAACAGTTTCCTCAAAATGGAAAAGTTGTTCCTGATCGTTCCACAAAGCCAGTACTTCCCCCTCCAACTGCCATGTTAACAGATGAAGAAAAAGCTCGTATTCATGCAGAAACGGCTCTCTTAATGGAGAAAAACAAACAAGAGAAAGAGCTTCGGAGAAGACAGCAAGAGGAACAGAAAGAGAAACTGAAGAGAGAAGAACAGGAACAAAAAGCCAGAAAGAAACAAGAAGCTGAAGAAAATGAATTCATAGAGAACCAACAAAAGGCAAAAGAAGAACTGGAGAAGAGAGAGAGTGAACAGGCCAAGAAAGAAGATAAAGAAACCTCAGCAAAGAGGGGCAGAGAAATAACAGGAGTAAAAAGACAAAGTAAAAGTGAACATGAAACTACCGATGCCAAGAAATCTGTGGAAGGTAGGGGGGAAATGTGTCCCACTCCGGAGGTACAGAAAAAGTCAGTGGGAGATGTGCCCCATTCCTCTGTGGCAGGAGACGCAAGTTCGGGCAAGGTAAGCGGACACAAATAGTATAAATTGTTAGCTAAGTGAAATAAAATGCACATAAAAAGATGACAGCAGGAGCATTCCATAAACAGGGCAGGCATTCTAAGTAGTTTAGTAGAGGGGGATTTGTACTGATCCATCTACATTTGCTCACCTACACTCCTTTGATTGGTTGAGAGTGGAATTGCTCTTTGTGTCTGTGAAATACAACATATTTTTAATAATTGAAATTAATAGCAACATTCTTCTTATTTTGATGTGTGATGATCAAAGACTAGAATGAAATACACACTTCCTTTCTGTATGGAGGAATTAGGAGCCCAATCTATATTTATACTAATAAAAGGGTAATATGCTAATTAGACTGGACGTCTTCCAGACAACCATCCAGACGTCCTTCCTAACAAAGCCTGGCCTGGGAGAAGCTGCCCACCCTGTGGTCCCAGGCACCTACGCCAGCGGCCCGCGGCCCGGGAAGGGGAGAAAAGCCACCCACCCTGTGGTCTTGGGCACCAGCGCTTGCGGCTATGGTCCAGGAGAGGGAGAAAAGCCGAACACCAGCTGCTTCCTGGGCAAAACCACCTGCCACGGTCTGTTGCGGCTGTGGCTGGCCCGGGTCCCCGTTGCCTGTGGCCAGCCAGAGGGAGGGAATCCTGGGTCTCAGGAGCAGGGTCGAGGCAGAGATGGTTGGTGATCAGGCAGGCAGGCAGAGGTGGTTAGGGGCAATGAGACAGGCAGGCAGGCAGTCCGGTAGGAGCCAGTTGTCCCAGTTGGATTGGGCCTAAACCGGCAGTCAGACATCCCTCGAGGCTCCCTAATTGAAGAGGGTGCAGGCCAAGCTGAGGGACCCACTCACCCCGTGTACAAATTTCGTGCAATGGGCCTCTAGTATTGATATAATAGATTTTGTATCTGTTTAGAATATGTCCTAAATCAGTGATATCTAAATGGTCTAACATTTATTTTTGCGTACAGTGATTTTTTTAAACTTTTCTTTGTCCTGCTATTTTTTCTGTTGCTTCATGTAATCAAGAATACTGGCAATAACTCCATTCATACTGCCTTTCTCTGCCCCAGGGCTATCCCCCAAAATTGAGGGCATTTTTTGTCAATTTTTTTTTCTCTGTTATGCAGTTAACAATGCCTTTCCCTTTGAACACTAAATAAGTTTCTATAATAGCAGGAATAGGTACAGCCCCCCCCCCTTTTTTTTTAACCTACATTTAAATGGAAATAAAATGTTGATAGTGTTAAAATGATTTTTGATGGAAGGTGAAATACCATATTTAAAGATTGTTCATTTCTATACTTCTCAAGCAGCAGTTCAGGCATATATCAAAGTTAACAATTATTAATGCCTCACTTCTCCAGGCAACTCTGATCTGGTAACCTTAGCTATCAAAAATATAGCTGCCATACAGTAACCTTTCTAAACACACAATGTTAAAGAAATGAAGCCTATGTACTAATACTTTATTCATAGGAGAATCAGAACTTAAGAGCTCTTATCATTTAAATATTATTCATTGAGTAGCTACTATAGACACATGTTTTTCCCTACATTATCTTATTCCTCCTAATGATAACTCCATGAGATATTCTATTTACCAATGAAATTTAGAAATTAATTTGCTTAAGATCACATATGCAGTGAGATTCCAAAGTGACTTCCTTTCCATCTTGCTATACTTAGTGGTAGGCAGTCATAAGAACATAAAGAATGTAATACATTCATATTTCTGCAGATATTTAGTATAGGTGCCAAATATTCCTACAGATCTAAATATCCCTGAGATTACCACATATAGTGTTTGATGTTTCTTATAACACACTAGAGGCCTGCTGCATGAAATTCGTACACAGGAAGGGTCCTTAAGCCCGGCTGTGATCAGGGCCAATCAGGGCCTTCCTTCCCCTGGCTGCCAGCTGGGGCCTGCCTTTGTTCTTCATTGCCCCTTGGTGGTCAGTGCAGATCATAACAAGCAAACTCCCGGTCGGTCAAACTCCCAATTTGCTTTTAGCCTTTTATTATATAGGATTGTAAAAAAGTTAAGATTGCCTTCCTTGTATGTGCTATTTTTTTTTTTATTGTATGCTTCTTTTAAAAGTGAGCAAAATATGTAATTTATTCTAGAATAAATTTTATTAAAATTATTACACATGCCGTTTTGGCTCAGTGGATAGAGCGTCAGCCTGTGTGCTGAAGGGTCCCAGGCTGGATTCCAGTCAAGGGCACATGCCCGGGTTGCAGGCTCAATCCCCAGTGGGAGGTGTGCAGGAGGTAGCCAATCGGTGATTCTCTCTCATCATTTATGTTTCAGTCTCTCTCTCCCTCTCCCTTCCTCTCTGAAATGAATAAAAATTTATTTTTTAAAAATGAATAATTATCTCTAAAAAAGTTATTACACATTTTTAACTTTTTACTTTACTGTGATTATTTTTAAATGAACTATAAAATTAAAGTTAATTTTTAAAAATATCTTTTCATTGATTTTTTTAGAAAGAGAGGAAGAGAGAGAAACATTGATGAGGGAGAAACATCCATCGGCTGTCTCCTACAAAGCCCCTGGGGGGATTGAGCCTGTAACAGTGGCATGTGCCCTGACTGGAAATCAAACTGGTTAATTTTTGATGCATCTTGATGATGGCACAATGCATCTGAGCCACACCAGCCAGGCTAAAGTGAATTTACAAAAGAAATTATGCTAGGTTCCAAGAGGAGGTAAAATGGGATTTTATACTTTTGAATACCACTCTTTATAAAATTTTACAATCTCTTCATTCCCTTTAATACTTTTTTTTTTAACATGACACTTTCAAGGTAACCAAAATCATATGAGGTTTAAATAAAAGCATATTTATTTATTGTTCAAAAGAGGCCTTGGAGAATTTTACTAATGACTAATATCTTGTACTTCGCCATGTATTATGAATCAGTGCTTGATAAGCCACTGTGACTTGCGTCAGGTTTTTTTTTCCAACTGACTCATCAGAAATTTTTAGTTCTTTATCTTTAGTATTAGTAAATCTCACATGGGCTCTACCACCTTTCCTTTGACAATAAAATTGCATAAACTTTACAGAGGCCTCAATTTTTTCTCCTTTTACATTTTCAAATATTTATATATTTGGTAAATTTGCTTATATTAGCTTATGTTAGGTGTATATTGGGGGGAAATTCAACTGTTTTTTCACTTCTGAAATTTTAATAATTTTACAGCCTGTTAAGATTAAAGGACAGCCAGAAAGTGGAATTCTAAAGACTGGAACTTTTAGAGAGAATACGGAAGACACTGAAAGAAATAAAGTAAGTAGTCGTTCTTTGGGTGGAGAAAAACATGGATTATAACATACCATATGTTAATTATTACCATAACATTCATTCTCCATTTTAAAATCTCTCTAAGGGAATCTTTGCTACCTCTGGTAGCTGATTTGTGTTTGTTTTTGCATGATTATATGCTGTTTGTCTTCCTATTTAAAGTACAATAGTATATTCTATTTATTTTACGAAATTAAAAAATATTTAGGCCTTACTATATGATCCAGGAATTCTACTTCTGGAGATATATCCAAAATAATTGAAAGTGGGACCTCAAAGAGATATTTATACATACATTTTCATAGCAGTATTATTCACAGTAGTTAAAAGATGGAGCAACCCAAGTAACCATCAACAGATGAATATATAAACAAATGTGGTATGTACAAACAATGGAATATCACTCAGCCTTAAAAAGGGAGGAAATTCTGACACATGCTATACCATGGATAAATCTTGAGGATATTATGGTAACTGAAATATACCAGTCACTAAAGGACAAACTGTGATTCCATTTGTATAAGGTACCTAAAGCAGTCAGATTCATGGAGGTAGGAAATAGAGTGGTGATTGCCAGGGGTCTAAGGATGGGTTGAGTACGGCAGTTGTTTAAATGGGTACAGTTTCAGTTTTGCAAGTTGAAGAGAGTTCTGAAGGTGTGTTGTGCAACAATTTGAATATACTTTTGCCACTTAAAAATGGTTAAGATAGAAAAAAAAAGTTAAGATGGTAAATTTTGTATATTTCATCACAACTTTTGAAATAGGTCTTTTATGAGACATCTTTGCCTTTTTTTTTAAGAGTTTTATTTAAGAACTAGAGTCCTGGTGCATGAAATTCATGCATGGGGGCCGGGGGGGCATGTCCCTTAGGCCCGATCCTACTTGGCAGTCAGACATCCCTCTCACAATCCAGTACTGCTGGCTCCCAACTGCTCGCCTGCCTGCCTTCCTGATTGCCCCTAACCACTTCTGCCTGCCAGCCTGATCACTCCCTAACCCCTCCCCTGCCAGCTTGATTGATGCCTAACTGCTCCCCTGACAGCCTATTTGCCCCTAACTGCCCTCCCCTGCAGGCATGGTCCCCCCCAAACTGCTCTCCCCTGCAGGCCTTGGTCTCCCCCCAACTGCTCTTCCCTGCAGGCCCAGTCACTCCCAACTTCCCTCAGCCAGCCTGGTCACCCCTAACTGCCCTCCCCTGCAGGCTTGATCGCCCCCAACAGCCCTCCCTTTCAAGTCTGGTCCCTCCCAACTGCTCTCCCCTGCAGGCCATCTTGTGATGGCCATCTTATGTCCACATGGGGGCAGGATCTTTAATTACCTGGGGTCAGCCACCTTGTGTGTTAGAATGATGGTCAATTTGCATATTATTCTTTTATTAGGATAGAGGCCTGGTGCATGGGTCGGGGCTGGCTGGTTTGCCCTGAAGGGTGTCGCGGATCAGAGTGGGGGTTCCCTTGGGGCATAGGGCAGCCTGGGCGAGGGGCCTCTGGTGGTTTGCAGATAGGCCATGTCCCCCGGTGACCCAAGCAGAGGCCCTGGTAACTGGGATTTATTTATCTTCTATAATTGAAACTTTGTAGCCTTGAGTGGAGGCCTGGGCCATCAAGGGTGTGTGGAAAGCTTGGCTTCCTCCATTGCTGGGGGAAACCCAAGGCTCCTGCTCATTCCATGGCCGCAGCCATCTTGGTTGGTTTCATTTGCATACTTATTCTTGATTGGCTTGATTGGTGGGTGTGGCAGAGTGCTGGTTAATTTGCATATTACTCTTTTATTAGATGGTACTAGAGTCCCAGTGCATGAAATTTGTGCACAGGGCAAGGGGTCCCCTCAGCCCAGCCTGCACCTTCTTATCCGGGACCCCTCAGGGGATGTCCAACTTGCAATTTAGGCCCAATCCTAATCCCTCTCACAATCTGGGACCACTGGCTCCTAACTGCTCACCTGCCTGCCTGCCTGATAGCCCCTAATTGCCTGATCACCCCTAACTACCTTTGCTTGCTGGCTTGATCACCCCTAATTGCCCCACCCACCCACTCCCCGCCAGCTTAGTCACCCCTAACTGCCCCCCTTGCCGGCCTGGTTGCCCCAGCCTCTAATTGTTCCCTCTGCCAGCCTGATCACCCCTAACTACCTTTGCTTGCCGGCTTGATCGCCCTTAACTGTCCCCCCTGCCTGCTTAGTCACCCCTAACTGCCCCCATTGCCGACCTGGTTGCCCCCAACTGCCCCTCTCTACTGATCTGGGCGCCCCCAACTACCCCCCCCCTTGCCGTCCTTGTTGCCCCCAACTGTCCCCCCTACCCCCTTCAGCCTGGTTGCTTCATGCATCCTGCTGTTTGGTCATTGCTTGTTACTGTGACAAGCAATGACCAATTTGCATATTCCTCTATTATTACTATAGATAATATATAAAGGGCAACCAACACAAGGCTTTTGGTTCTCTTGTACAAGTTGCTTAAGTTTGTAAATCAGATTTTTTTTTTCCTTTTATAAATAAACTAGGCCCGGGAGCCTTTGACAAGAGCACGAAGTGAAGAAATGGGGAGAATCGTACCAGGACTGCCTTTAGGCTGGGTCAAGGTAAAAGCCCAAATTAGCACAGAAATAAATAAATAACATGGTCATTGTATTCTTTGGGGAGGTGGAAGGGGGGGTGTTCTATTTTTTTGTTTCTTCTACATTTTCAATGCACTCAGTTCTGTTTCATTATAGAAGCTTTAGCTCATTTTCCTAATTATAGCAGAGTTAGATTTTTGCGTATCCAATCAGATGCTGGATATAATATATGAGCATTACTGGCACTTTTAATTTAAAACCTAAGTTATTTGGAAGTTTAATTATAGAAGTGATTATCACCATTCTATCCAGAATATTTTAATCCAAAATCAAATTTAGGAGTGGAATACTTTTGAGTGATTTTTTTTGTTGTTGTTCACATAATGGTCATTGTTTTTTTGACCTGTTTCTTTTCTTTTCTTTTTTCTTTTTTTTTTTTTTTCCTTTTCCAACTAAGTTTCTTGACCCAATCACTGGAACTTTTCGTTATTATCATTCACCCACCAACTCAGTTCATATGTATCCACCGGAAATGGCTCCTTCATCCGCACTTCCTTCCACCCCACCAACTCATAAAGCCAAGCCACAGATCCCTGCTGAGCGGGACAGGGAACCGTCCAAGCTGAAGCGCTCCTACTCTTCCCCAGACATAACCCAGGCCATCCAAGAGGAAGAGAAGAGGAAGCCAACAGTCACTCCAGCAGTCAATCGGGAAAATAAGTAAGTTTATCCTAACTCCTAAAACTAGAATAACCTGCTACATTTGTAAACTGCTGTAAACATAACTTATTTATGTCAGGGAGTCAGAAATTTCTGTGTCTGGCTTCACCAGAGCCACAGAAGAAAAAAGAAATTACTGGATTAAAATGTTCTTGGTTTTTCTCCCAAGTGCTAATTTAAATATGTCAGAAAAGACTATCATAAGCATTAAAGTAGATATAAAGGCATATACGGTATTCATTATTACATTTTAAGACACTATGCTATAGACTACCTAAAAGTTTTCATAGTTCTTAAATCTCTTTAAGGAGCATAATTTATAAGCTTGTTGAGTTTACCTTATTAAATCTCTAAATCTAGTTATAGATTTTAGGGCTCACTGTTAAAACTGGTGAGATTTAATTCCTTCTTGCATCATCATTCTTAATAAAACTTGTTAATTTCATAGTTTTGAGGACTATTACATATGCATTTTATGTATTTTTATATATATTGAACAGAGAAAGTAAATGAGTGCAAACACCTGAGCACATGTAAAGAAAAGCAATTGAAATTAGTTTCTCAATGGATTCTCAATATTCCTTTAGGGTGGCCCTAGCTGGTTTTGCTCAGTGGATAGAGCATCGGCCTGAGGACTGAAGGATCCTGGGTTTGATTCTGGTCAAGGGCACATGTGCAGGTTATGGGCTTGATCCCCAGTAGGGGGTGTGCAGGAGGCAGCTGATCAATGATTCTCTCTCCTCTCCCTTCCTCTCTAAAATCAATAAAAATACACACACACACACACACACACACACATATATATAGATATATATATACACACATACACATATATATGCATATGTATAGGTATATATACATATATAGATATAGATATGTGTGTGTGTGTGTGTGTGTGTGTGTATTCTTTAGGTGAACTATTAATGATTAGGATCAATAATAACAGAAAAACCTACCAGTTAAGATTTTTCTTTGCTATAGTAGTTCGGACATCCTAAATGACAGTCTTAGAGGCATTCACTAGTCTGATACTGTCCAGTAGACATGTTGATAGAAATATTCTCTATGTTTGATGATGGAGATGTTTTGGATCGGTACTGTCCAATGTGGTAGTGGCTACTTTGGATTGTAACTAGTGTAACTGAGGAGCTGAAATTTTTTTATTAATATTTTTATTTAAACAGCCATTCATCTGTAGCTAATGGCTACCATATTTGTCAGCACAGCTCTCGACTTTAGGGAATAGTACCCAAATAACCTCTTCCTCTTTTGCTGTACTCCATAGTAATGTACAGATTTACAACTGTGGGTACATGAAACAGAGTTTATTCTTATATTTTTATTTATTAATGTATTACTTTTTATATAAACTATTTTTGCCCACTCAGGTGTGTATGTTGTATTCTATTTTTTGTATTCTGTTTAATTCAACATTTGGTATTACTAAACTTGCCAGAATCATTTAATGGAGTTTGAAAGGGCCTTCTTTACTAGAAGACTTTACCTATTCCTGAGAAGCAGAGATCTATCTCAGGATGTCTGTGAGACCCATGGACCCACAAAAGAAGTTAAAAGTCTTTATTTCATGGGAGGGTCACAGAATATGTGTCACCTAGGTGGTAAATGTTCAGTAGACCTAGTATCCAACTAAGTTCACAAGATTACTGTTTTCTATAGTATATATCCTAGAGTTTGCTGCCTTTTGTCATTTAAACCTTATTTTCACATGCTGTGTCTTCTAAGACATCTTGTACGCCTTTTTTCCCCTCAGGCCAGCATGCTATCCTAAAACGGAAATCACAAGGCTTTCTGCTTCTCAGATTCGGAACCTCAATCCTGTGTTTGGAGGATCTGGACCAGCTCTCACTGGACTTCGTAATTTAGGAAATACTTGTTATATGAACTCAATACTGCAGTGCCTATGTAATGCTACACATTTGGCTGATTATTTCAACCGAAACTGTTATCAGGATGATATTAACAGGTAAATAAATACTTTTTGCAATATAATGTTAAAAGAGTGATATAACCCAATTGGTGTTGCTCAGTGGTTAAGTGTTGACCTATGGAATTGGGAGCTTATGGTTTGATTCCTGGTCAGGGCACATGCCCAGGTTGTAAGCTCGGTCCCCAGTAGCAGTGGGTGCAGGAGGCAGCCGGTCAATGATTAGCCAGTTAACTGCCACGATATTTTTATTTTTTTATTTTTTTTTTTTTTTTAAATATATTTTATTGATTTTGTACAGAGAGGAAGGGAGAGAGATAGAGAGTCAGAAACATCGATGAGAGAGAGTCATCGATCAGCTGCCTCTTGCACACCCCCTACTGGGGATATGCCCGCAACCAAGGTACATGCCCTTGACCGGAATCGAACCCGGGAACTTTCAGTCCCCAAGCCGACGCTCTATCCATTGAGCCAAACCGGTTTCGGCTGCCACGATATTTTTAATTTAATTTAAAAAGGTCTGCTGCTTGCGTATATAGACGTTTAAGGCTTACAAATGGTTAATTATCCCTCTCCCTATCTCTCCCTGAAATCAATTAAAAATTTTTTTTTTTTTAAGAGTGATGTAACCACCCAGCTCCTTCCAGGGAAGTCAGAGTAGGGAAGGGAAAAATAATTTTTTTCTTTAGAAAAATATAGAGAAAACCTCTTCTAATAGGTAAAGGACAGACATGAAAGGAGAAATGCAGGAGGCTAGGCCCTTGTGGCCATAAACTGGAGCCTGTCAGGAAGAAGAGACAGTGCAGGGCTGGCAGCCATAAAGAAGCCAGTCAGGCATGTAATCAAAGTCAGGTTCAGATGGGTATTTGGTAATACACCTGTGAATAAGTATGTTAGTGTAAGGTCATCCTACCTAATACAATAATATGCAAATTAACCATCACTCCACTACACCCACAAGCCGTGCCCACCAGCCAATCAGAGTAAGTATGCAAATTAACCCAACAAAGATGGTGGTTAATTTGCATACACAGTGTGAGGAGTGAAGACTGAAGACAGCATAGAAGGAAGAGGGAGGGAAAGTGGAAAGCACTGGCAGCGCCTGCCGGGCGGGGCGCACAGCAGTGCTGCACACGGCCAGTGGAGGTGGCAGTGGCAGGAAGCAGCAGGGGCGGTGGGCGCAGCGCGGTGGGGCGTGTGGCAGGCAAGGCGGATCAGGCGGGGTAGGCAGGAGGGAAGCCGCAGCGGGAGAGGTGGGGGGCGGGAGGGGAGCCCACCGGAAGTCTTGCAGGAATATTCCTGCAACAGGTCACTAGTAGTATATTAATAGTTTAATGTTGACATCAAGATCCCACTGCACCTTGACTGCTTACAACTTGCTTTTTTGTAACTTTATTTTCCAAGGTCAAATTTGTTGGGTCATAAAGGTGAAGTGGCAGAAGAATTTGGCATAATCATGAAAGCACTATGGACAGGACAGTACAGGTATATCAGTCCAAAAGACTTTAAAATCACCATCGGAAAGATCAATGACCAGTTTGCAGGATATAGCCAGCAAGATTCACAAGAACTGCTTCTGTTCCTAATGGACGGTCTCCATGAAGATCTAAATAAAGTAAGAATTTTGATTGTTCTTTAAGTTTGTTCAACATGTAATTTTTATAGCAATTTAAAATTATAGTTGGTGATTGTTCAGTGCTATTTTATCATGTCTAGTGACTTTGTATTAATGTTTGAAATTATAAAACGCATATATCTGGTAGGTCTAGTATTTGAAGAAGTATATACAATTTGTATTTATTCACTAAAATGTTAGCAGGTTGTATTGTAAGAAATTTATAGATGTTAAAATAATTATTAGAGATATACTGCAGGGATCAGGCTGAAACCTGCTCTCCGACATTTCTCAGACATTTCTCAAGGGATACCGGATTGCAAGAGGGTTCAGGCCAGGCTGAGGGACCGCACCGGTGCATGAATCTGTGCACCTGGCCTCTATTATGCATATAAAATTTTTTTATTAATCTCTTCCTTCCCTCCCCCTTTTTTCCCCCCTGAGATTCATCAGTCTATTCCATGTTTTCATGCCTGTGGTTTCTGCTCCTGTCACTGCTCATCATAGCTACTGGACGGTTGGCCATAGGCCAGTTGCTTAGGCTTTTATATAGAAAGATTATACTTTTTTCTAAAATAAGAATTATTCCATGTAACCACAAATGATTCATGTCAAAGGTGATTATTGTGGCATATCTCTATATAAATGACCAATCTGTTTAAACACTATGGTTACCTTTTAGCACCAAACTGTTCTCTGTACCTCCCTATACACACACTTTTACATACATAAACATAAATATAGTGTGTTTGTATGTGTACCTTGTGTATATGTGTATAGTATGAATATCCTATATAACAAAAGCATAGTAGGCAAATTATCCCCTCAACCAGAGTTCTTCCGGGAGTTTGGCCAGGGGGCCCAGGCTGGCTGGGGGGAGGGAGGGAGTACCTGGCTGGCAGCTGCTAGGGACCCTTCCAGTGCAAGAATTTCGTGCACTGGGCCTCTAGAGTGTGTGTATGTGTGTGTGCACGTGTGCGCAAACGCACATCCCTGAGACTAGGACAACAAAATAACATCTGTCTACCCTGTTTCCCCAAAAATAAGACAGTGTCTTATATTAATTTTTGCTCCCAAAGATGCGCTAGGTCTTATTTTCAGGGGATGTCTTATTTTTCCATGAAGAAGAATACGGTACACATTTATTGTTAAATGAAAATAAAGGAAATTTATTACCTGTATACGGTACGGTAGTACGGTAGTTGGCAACACAAACCAGACAAACTGTGAATCTTGCAGTATCAAGAATTTACTCATTTATTCAATGACAATCATGTCATCATCTTCTGGAACATCATAACAATCCAATTCCTGAATTTCCTGGAGAATTTCTTGTGACTCCATTTCTTTCAGAATCAGTGGACCAAATCTCTCATGTTTAGCAATAGCATTCTGAGACAGAGCCTAGGGGGGGCCTTATTTTCAGGGGGATGCCTTATATTTCACTCAGAAGGAAACCTGTAAGTAGGTCTTATTTTCGGAGGATGTCTTATTTTCAGGGAAACACGGTAGTTGTAGCCCGTACTCCCAGCTACATGTAGCATGTTTTCTGTTTCTAAAACCAGACTTTTCAGCTTTTTAAATAAAAATTTATTAAGCAATTCCAACAAGTCACACTCTTGATAAAGTGGGTTTTTGGCAAAAGAAAAAATTTTGAGGTGCTTAATGAGATTAGAACTCCTTTATGAAAAGAATCAGAAGTATTTCAAAATCCGCAGTGTTTATCTTTAATACATTTCTGTCCATCTTATATTTCGATGCTGACTTTAAGATATTAATATAGAGTTTAAATAATCTTATTTCCAGGCTGATAATCGGAAGCGACATAAAGAAGAGAATAATGATCATCTTGATGACTTTAAAGCAGCAGAACATGCTTGGCAGAAACACAAGCAGCTCAATGAATCCATTATTGTAGCACTTTTCCAGGGTCAGTTCAAATCCACAGTACAGTGCCTCACCTGTCACAGAAAGTCTAGGACGTTTGAGGCCTTCATGTACTTGTCTCTACCCCTAGCATCCACTAGTAAATGTACATTACAGGTAAGTTTATGATTGAGAGAAAAGGATTTACTGAGTAAAAATGCTGTTTGTATGCATATAAAGATATACTTTATTCAGCAATTTATGTCTGTTTTTTACTCCTATTAACATAGGCAAAACTAACACATAAATTATTTTAATTAGGTTTATGTGGATTAGGAAAAAATTTCCTCAAGAAAATTTTTTTCAGATCTATTTTTTTTAAATACATTTTTTTTTATTGATTTCAGAGAGGAAGGGGGGAGATAGAAACAACAATGATGAGAGAGAATCATTGATTGGCTGCCTTCTGCACGTCCCCCACTGTGGACTGAGCCCGCAACCCAGGCATGTACCCTTTTCCGGAATCAAACCTGGGACCTTTCAGTCTGCAGGCTGACACTCTATTCACTGAGCCGAACTGGCTAGGGCCAGATCTATTTTCTTATTAAATATTCTTTCAGAGCTGATAAATAATATATATATATATATATATATATATATATATATATATATATATATATATTTTTTTTTTAAGTTTGTATTGTGAAATTTTTAAAGTTAATTTGGAAAATGATGTTGATTTTAGTTTAGGTCTTCTTTTTATAAGAATGTGCTTTACGCCGAAACCGGTTTGGCTCAGTGGATAGAGCGTCGGTCTGCGGACTGAAAGGTCCCAGGTTCGATTCCGGTCAAGGGCATGTACCTCGGTTGTGGGCACATCCCCAGTAGGGGGTGTGCAAGAGGCAGCTGGTCGATGTTTCTCTCTCATCTACGTTTCTAGCTCTCTATATCTCTCCCTTCCTCTCTGAAAAAAATCAATCAAATATATTTTTAATAAAAATAAAAAAAGAATGTGCTTTACATGTGGATATCAAACGAACATCCTGTTTTTTATACAACAGCAATGTGATTTAGGTCGCTTGTTGATCTCTAGTGTTAGCTTCTTGGAGGATGTCTTTTCTTCCAATAAGATTTCCTGAGCCCTCAGGAAAATTACCCGTATTTTCTGGCATATAAGACGACTTTTGAACCGAAAAAAAAGTCAACCGAAAATCGGGGGCAAAAGACCAAAATTGCACAAAAATTACCTGCAGATCTTGACAGCAAAGTAAGTCTTTTCTTTGAAGTGGGGGGTAGTCTTATACAGCGAATATAGGCCTAAACCTATGTTTTAACTGTAAAATTAGGGGGTCTTATACGCCGGAAAATACGGTATGCTCTCAAGAGATGCAATACCTCTTCTGCTCACCACAGGCAGCACTCACTACATGTGGTGTCATGAAGGCTCTTAGTCTGCACTCCTCACCAGATCATAAACTTTGTGAGGGCAGAAATTGTTTTGTTCTACTTTACTATTGTCCCCTTCATCTAGGCAGAGTAAATTACTGAATAGATGCTCAATGACATTGTGTTAAAAAAATGAATTAATGAGTACTACTTCTTTTTGCCCTCTAGGATTGCCTTAGGTTATTTTCCAAAGAAGAAAAACTCACAGATAATAACAGGTTTTACTGCAGTCATTGCAGAGCTCGAAGGGATTCTCTAAAAAAGATAGAAATCTGGAAGTTACCACCTGTGCTTTTAGTACATCTGAAACGGTAAAGGGCACAATATTTTCTACCTGTTTAGAACAGTTTAGGTGAAGGAATTCTAAATCCTTTATTCTAAGTCACTTTGTGGTATTGCCTGCTAACGATGCATCATCATCAAGGAAGATTTCTCTGATTAGGGTATCTCCAGGGAATAAGGCAGAAATGATGCGATTCTAGTTCACCTTAGTACTTGCAGTAACAGAGCAAAATGATACCACCACTCACTCTTTTATGTAATTCTGTCTTTGAAACATGAGGATGACATTGTTGAGTGCAGACATAGTTTTGTCCAGATTTTTCCAACCAGTGAAAAAGATCTGACCTGTAGTAATAGAAGGAATGGGAAAGAGCTGCAAAATATATCTCAAGTCTTCTGCTCCAATTCTTCTGTCTTTATGTGTTCCATCTGTGGAGTGATAACTTTGAGACTTTTTTTTTAACTTTTTAAAAAGGAAATTTCATGTTTTTATTGAGAACTATTTTTTTAATTTTTTTTTCATTTCAGAGAAAGGATCCATTGCCTACTTCTTAACATATTTTTAATTGATTTCAGAGATGGGAGGGAGAAAGAAACATCATGACAAGAGAGAATCATTGATCAGCTGCCTCTTGCACACCCCGTACTGGGGTCCAAGCCCACAACCTCCAGGTTCATAGGTCAATGGTCAACCACAGAGCCACACCCAACTGGGCTATAATTTTTGTTTTACATTTTGTAGTATTGGGGATTCTTATATTGATTTTAATATTGACATGTTCAGATTCATTTTTCCTAACAAAATTGGTTAGATCAATTATTCTTTTCCAAATCTTGAGGACTGGAGATAAACACTACAAAAATAGCCGAAACCGGTTTGGCTCAGTGGTAGAGCATCAGTCTGCAGACTGAAAGGTCCCAGGTTCGATTCCGGTCAAGGGCATGTACGTTGGTTGCGGGCACATCCCCAGTAGGGGGTGTGCAAGAGGCAGCTGGTCAATGTTTCTCTCTCATCGACGTTTCTAGCTCTCTAGCTCTCTCCCTTCCTCTCTGTAAAAAATCAATAAAATATATTTTTTAAAAAAAATAATCACACACTTGTTCTGTTAAAATTTTTAATGCTGTATATTACTCTTAGAGAATAGCTAAAAATACAAATGGTTCAGAATTCAGGTTTTGTAAAAATAATTCTGAAGTAATCATATCACACCAACCAAAGTACCCGTATTTTGGTATTTAAAGGAGCAGAGTGTGCCAGGATAATGAAATGGCATTATTTCAGTCACTAGTCTACGTGCTTGCAGTTTCCAGCTCTAGTTTCTCCAAAAGTGCAAGCTTCATTTGAGAGTAGCTCTCTGCAGTCTTTCCTCTGTACTTTGGTAGAGATTATTATTACAAGTGGGGTTTTTCAGAACTGTTATCTCTATAAAGAATGCATCTAACCGTCCTAGCTAGCCTACAGATCAGGGACCAAGGTGTGGCCCTACCTCTGCCGCTCTAGCTGTTTGGCCTTGGGCAAGCCATTTGATATCTATGTGCCTAGGTTTCCTCACTTGTAAAGTAGCAGTAAAACCAAATGTCTTTAATAGGTCCCTCTGCTGCTAAAATTCTGAGTATGTGATTGAAATGGATTTTGTGGTCCTGGTTAAATATCTAGATTGTTAAAATGAATTAGGGCTCATTCTTATGTCTTTTCGTGCATATAATTGTGTAATGTTTGGCTTTGCAGTTTTTCCTATGATGGCAGGTGGAAGCAAAAATTACAGACATCTGTGGACTTTCCGTTAGAAAATCTTGACTTGTCACAATATGTTATTGGTCCAAAGAACAATTTGAAGAAATATAACTTGTTTTCTGTTTCAGTAAGTATATCATTGAACTAAATACTTTTTTTCAAAGCAAACAAAATGTTTCCAATGGTTTCTTATAGCATAGGAAAGTAACAACATAAAGCTTTGAAATTATTGACATATTTTAAATAACTCCATCTGAATTTATATTCTCTCTCGTTTGGCACAGAATCACTACGGTGGGCTGGATGGAGGCCACTACACTGCCTATTGCAAAAATGCAGCAAGACAGCGGTGGTTTAAATTTGATGATCATGAAGTTTCTGATATCTCCGTTTCGTCTGTGAAATCTTCAGCAGCGTATATTCTCTTTTATACTTCCTTGGGACCACGAGCAACCGATATAGCCACTTAAGAGTACGTTGTAAGCTAGTTATCTTTTAGAAGACTGAGCAACACAACTCTGGAAATGCTTATAAAGATCCTGGACAGCTCTACCTGGCCTTTTAGAGGAATTATAAGACCATGAGAGCTGTGTTACTAATATCATATATTCCAGGTCAGTGCTATTATTAAAAAAAACGGCCAATAACATTTAACAAGTATTGCAGTAAGCATTCCTTAGAGGTACCATTGACATCATAATAACTTTTTTAGTTTGTTCCAAAGTTGAAATAAGTAGCTATGCATTATTATTCTACTGGTCTAAAAACTGTGTATCCGTTGTTTTCATTTTCACTGTTATGGCCTTTTCACATTTCTAAACCTCAGCTTGATCTATGAATATTCTAGAATATGAAGCAGATAGGAATGTATGTGTATATATTTATTGCACACTTGCACATCAAATCGATGTACATAGTATCATATGTGGTCCTTCCATGAAATCTAGAACTCCAGGGATTGCTTTTTTTCTTTTGGCCTATTCTGAGTAACTGCAGTGCTTTCTTAGGGAAATGACAGGGCAAAGCTATTTTTCTTTTGGCTTTGGGCTGTATTTGTGCACTAAATCTTTATTCTAAAGAAATAAATGGAAACTTTTCTCTAATTTTTTAAAATGAGAATTTTCATTTACACCTATATTAAAATCTTAATGAGAAAAATAATTAAAAACTTTTTAAGTGTCCTGTCTTTAATTTTATATTATCAAATATAGGACAGTAGAACTATAGATTTTATACACACACACACACACACACACACACACACTCTTTGTCCCACTACACTAACTTGAAATTTAGTTCACTTACCTTGTTAGCATCAGGATTCAATTCCACTCTTTTTTCAACTTGACTGCTTCTAGCACTTGGGGTTCTCAGATTTGGGAGTCATAATAAGATATAATACCGAGACTCATTCTATCAAGAGTAGTAGAATTCTTAGAATTGAGATAAAAAGGAATAGGAGTCATGTATTACTGCAAAGTGGACTGCATTATGAACCCCACGTCTTTACGAGTGATGTATTAAAAGAAATAGAGGAGCTTAGAATTTATCATTTACCTCAGGGACTCATCTAAGAGACATAGTTTTTTCCTAAATTATCTGATCAATAAAATATTTTCCAATCACGTTCTTGAGCACACAGCGCCACTAGAACAAAATTTTTTTGTTCTTAGTAACTATTTTTGGAAAATAATTTGTTATAAATACACATCAAATTATCAGATGTTTTATGATAAAAATCCACCCTAATAAACATTGAATTTTGAAGCTGGAACTCACTGCGTAATTTGCAGTGCTTAGAAGGCTCCCAATCCATTAGCATTGCATTGTTTAATATGCCAAGACCCATTCTTTTGGCTGTAACATATGCTAATTAGACCAGACAGCTGAACATCCTTCCGGACAAAGCCAAGAAAGCTGCAAGGGCCAAGGGCAGGCAGCCGAGGTGGCCGGCAGCGGCAGCAGTGACAGGGTGATGGGGGCAGCGCCTACTCCTGATCAGCCTGGTCACCTTCCATAGGGAACAGGCCTAAGCCATCAGCAGGACATCCCCTAAGGGCTCCCGAACTGTGAGAGGGGGCAGGCCGGGCTGCTCCAGGCATGAATTTTTGTGCACCAGGCCTCTAGTATCTTATATAAAGTTGTATAATATACCAGAAAGAAAAAAGTCAGTGATAACAAGTAAGTTGCAAGAATTTAATAAGAAGGCAAAACTTAAGTACCAGTTTCTGATTGCTTGCTTTGCAGCTTTCAGGAAACACCATTTTCCTAGCATTTTTCTATAGGTATAGAAAAGGGCTGGCAGCTGTAGAACAGGAGATACGCTGTAGCAGTTTGAACGGAAGTGTCTGGAATCTCACTGACGCGTGTGTCATCAAAGCTAAACCATGCTTGGGTCACTGAGTTCTTGCAGAAAGCAGTGTAATGGCCACCATCCAGGTCACCAAAATGGTTCTAGGAGAGGAAGGAATGTCAGACTTAGTATTCACATGCAAATACTCCAACTATTGGGACAAAAAAGGTAGGGCCAAGAAATAGTTTTCATAATTGTCCCTTATACTAAATTAAAGTTGATGATTATGTGTAGTTGAACCAAACATATAATCTTCCTTATTGTGTTTGTATTTTTTTTTAATTTTTTATTTGTTTTGAGAGCAAGGGAGGGAGAGACATCAATGTGTTGTTCCACTTATTTTGGCATTCGTTGATTCTTGTATGTGCTCTGACCAGGGATTGAACCTGCAACCTAGGCGTATTAGGACCACACTCTAACCAACTCAGCTATCCAGCCAGGGTTTATTATGTTTTTCATTTAATTGAACAACTATATATGATACCCATTGACTACTTAACAGAATCTGTGAATGAAACAGGATAATACTGGACTAATATCAGTTAATACTTACTGGGCACTTAACGGTACCATAGACTATTAAATATTAAAGGAAATTTAAAAATAAGATAGTAGTCATCTTTCCTAAATGAGCTTTTAGTTTAATTTTGAATATACATGTAAAAAGACATTTAACATTGGACCAAGACATTTCTACATTGCATATTGCCACTCTTCAGTATGAGGGGATTGTGTAACAACAATCCCCTCAGTCACTGTGGGCACAAAAAGAACCTGTTGCATTCTCGTTTTCCCTTGTCTCTGCTAACCCAGTAAAGGAATAGTTGAAATAAAGACATTAGAGAACCTCATATCTCAGAAGGTGGTCTAGCGTGGAGCTAGGGTTAACAAATTATTTGCCATGGGCCAAATCCAGCCTGCTGCCTGTTTTTGTATGGCCTGTGAAGAATGCATCTTATATTTGTACTCGAGGCCTGGTGCACGAAATTTGGGGGGTCACTCAGTCCAGCCTGCTCCCTCTCTCAGTCCAAGAGCCCTAAGGGGGTGTCCTCCTGATGGCTTAGCCCCGCTCCCTGTGGAGAGCGGGCTTAAGCTGAATTCTGGCCTCCCTCTGTGGGAGGTGACAGGGCTGATCAGGGGAAGGTGCCAGCCCAATCACCCCACTGATGCTGCCACTGTCGGCTGCCGCAGCCGCCAAGGAGTTTTCATCATGGACTTCAGTCCCTTCACCAAGAAAAAATGACAACTTCCTTTATCCTATATGACATTTCTTTTGGTCTTTTTTTTTATCCTCACTTGAGGATATGTTTCCATTGGTTTTTTGAAAGAGGGAAAGAGAGAGAAACATCAGTGTGAGAGGGACACTTCGATTGGTTGCCTCCTGCATGAGCCCTGACCTGGGCCCCGGCCAGGGAGGAGCCTGCAGCCTAGGTACCTGCCCCCGATCAGAATCGAATCCAGACCCTGCAGTCCACAGGCCAAGGCTCTATCCACTGAGCCAAACCAGCTTGGGCAGATTATGACATTTCCTAGCTCTCCAGCAGAGGACCTTCATTTTCTCCTCCAGGAGTGAGGTGGAAAAATCCTAGATCACCTTCTTGGATTCTTATTACCCAAGTTACCAGGAACACAGCAAGTGGCAGCGTACAGGGAGCTTAGCCAATGAGCGGTCAGAAAAGGTGTTTCCTCCGCTGCTCACACGCAGCGGCCACCCGGCACTCAGCACGCCCTCGTCCCTGGTGTGCGTCCACTCGGCCTGCGCCGAGGAGGCTCAGAGCAGGCACTCCTATGTGTTGTGTCTCTGTTCTGGCCTGCCATCAGCCCCAGCCTCCCCTTTCTGATCTTTACTTCCCCCATCTATTAAAATGGGGTAATGCCAAAACCCGTTTGGCTCAGTGGATAGAGCGTCGGCCTGCGCACTGAAAGGTCCCGGGTTCAATTCCGGTCAAGGGCATGTACCTTGGTTGCAGGCACATCCCCAGTAGCGGGTGTGCAAGAGGCAGCTGATTGATGATTCTCATCGATGTTTCTAACTCTCTATCCCTCCCTCTTCCTCTCTCTAAAAAATCAATAAAATATATTTAAATAAAACAAAATAAGATAAAATGGGTAATAAAACCTGTCTTATATGGCTATTGTCAGTTATATTATAGAGGTAGCACATAGGACATACTTATTAAATGTTCCCACAGACCTTTATCTTCTCTCCTTTGACATATTAGAGAAATACTCCAAAGCTGACAATTAAAAGATCCAGTCTTAGTCCTTGCCATGCGACCTTAAACTGACATGCTTATTTATAAAATGGTGCCCAAAATAGTGTGATGTAATTTGAGAAAAACAAAACATCTGGTGGATAAGTAGTGCCCAAATATTGAAGTAATGTTCTGAAGATTAGAACAGAACTAGAGTATTATGTTCAGTTTTGGTGACAATGTGAAAAAGAAAAATGACAGAAGACAGTCAAGTATTTTTCTAGACTTCCATTTTGGGCAAATATAGGAGATAATTAGATAGCCTGAGAGCCTTGGTTATAAAATTGTAAGGAATGCTGGATAAAACATGATAAACATCTTTTGAACTATATGGCTGACTTCAAAGATTGTTTAATAAGAGGAAACTCCAGGGGCCAGAACCAGAGGAGATAAAAGAGTATTGATGCTCTGACTGCCTCAGAGTCAAGATAATTTCTGTTCTCTGTAACCAAAGTACTTTAGTTTTAAAGGTCACACAAGGACAGGAGGTAAACTCTTAGGTCCTGGCAAGGTAAGGAATTGGATTGAGGTTCACATACCTAGCAAGTACTCTTAAAGAGATTCACCCTCAATAAAAATCCTATCTTTTAAAGCTTGTCTTGCCAAAACCGGTTTGGCTCAATGGATAGAGCGTTGGCTTGCGGACTGAAAGGTCCCAGGTTCGATTACGGTCAAGGGCATGTACCTTGGTTGCGGGCACATCCCCAGTAGGGGGTGTTCAAGAGGTAGCTGATCAATGTTTCTCTCTCATCAATGTTTCTAACTCTCTATCTCTCTCTTTCTCTCTGTAAAAAATCAATAAAATATATATTTTTAAAAAACAAAATGTTCCCTTTTAGATCAGGAACAAGACAAATATATCCACTCTCACCACTTATTCAACACAAAATTTGTGCACTGGGGAGTGGTCCCTCAGCCCAGCCTGCCCCCTCTCACATACTAGGAGCCCTCAGGGGATGTCCAACTGATGGCTTGGGCCCACTCCCCATTGGGAGCAAACTTAAGCTGCAGTCTGGCCTCCCTTTGCAGGAGGTGACTGGGCTGATCAGAGAAAGGCACCAGTCCCATCACCCTGCTGCTGCAGCCACTGCCAGTCACTGCAGCCACCAAGGTATTTTCATCAACACGGACTCTAGTCCCTTCACCATGAAAAAATGACAACTTTCTTTAGGCATTTTCAAGACGTGTCTTTCATAGGATATAACATTTCTTTTTCTTCTTACCCTCCCCTGAGCATATGTTTCCATTGAATTTTAGGCTTGGGCAGGGGCACCCCTATCCCCTAAGGCTTTAGTCTCGGGCAAGGGACCACCCTGCCCTCCGATCACAAGCTCCGCCCCTTCCCAAGCCTAAAGCCTCCATCTGGGAGTGGCCTGTGTGCCAAGGAGGTTCCCGGGACTCAAGTATGTATGCAAATTAACCTTCATCTTTGTTGGGTTAATTTGCATACTTATTCTGATTGGCTGTGGGCATAGCAAAGATATAGTCAATTTACATGTTTCTCTATTATTAGGTAAGATAGTATTGGAAGTCCTAGCCACAGCCATCAGGCAAGAGAAAGAAAGAAAATTGGAATGAGGAAGTAAAATAGTCACCCTCTGGAGATTACGTTATTCTTTATATATAGAAAACTCTCAAGACTCCACCAAAAAACTATTAGAAACAATAGACAAGTACAGTGCAAAAATACATTGTATTCCTATGTACTAACAATGAAATTGCATTAAAAGGAATGGGAAAAGATTCCTTTTGCAATTGTAACAAGAATAAAATACTTAGGAATAAACTTAAAGGATGTGAAGGATCTATCCATTAAAAACCACAAAGCATTATTAAAGAAGATTTTAAAAGACACATGAAATGGGAAGATATTTCATGGATTGAAAGAATCAATACAGTTAAAATGTTATACTACCCAAAGCAATATGTAGATTTAATGCAAACCTCATCAAACTCCCAATGACATTTTTTAAATACAGAACAAAAAATCATCATATTTGTATGTAATCACAAAAGACCCCAAAGAGCCAAAGAAATTCTGACCAAAAAAAAACAAAGCCAGAGATATCCCTACCCCTGACTTCAAATTTTACTACAAAGATACAATAATCAAAACAGCATGGCACTGGCAGAAAAATAAGCACACAAATCAATGGAACAGAATTGAAAGCCCAGAAATAAACCCACATATATATGAGCAATTAGTTTTTGACAAAGACCTAAAAAACACAATGGAGAATAGAAAGCCTCTTTAATAAATGGTGCTGAAAAAATTGGAAAGCCACATGCAAAAGAATGAAACTAGACTACTGTTTGTCTCCATATACAAGCAAATAACTCAAAATGGATCAAAAACCTAAATATGAGATCTGAAACCATAAATTACATAGGAGAAAGTATAGTTACTAAACTTATGAACCGTGGCTGTAGAGAACATTTTATGAATTTGATCTCAATGGGACTTTATAAAACTAAAAAGCTTCTGCACAGCAAAAGAAACTGACAACAAAACAAAAAGGCAGCTGAAACCGGTTTGGCTCAGTGGTAGAGCGTCGGTCTGCAGACTGAACAGTCCCAGGTTTGATTCCGGTCAAGGGCATGTACCTGAGTTGTGGGCACATCCCCAGTAGGGGGTGTGTAGGAGGCAGCTGGTTGATGTTTCTCTCTCATAGACGTTTCTAGCTCTCTATATATATCTCTCCCTTCCTCTCTGTAAAAAATCAATAAAATATATTAAAAGGAAAAAAAAAGGCAACCAATTGAATGGTAGAAGATATTTGCAAACAACAGCTCCAACAAGAAGTTAATTTCCAAAATATAAAAAGAACTCAAGGAGAGAAACCAAG